AGCGCTGGTTTAACTCCTGACCTTGAGCAATCCGCCGCCTCGGCCTCCCAAAGTGCTAGGTATTGACAGGGCGTGAGCCACCACCCGCCCGGCACAAGTAGATAGAATTTGGTATGTGTAGGTGTGTGGAGAAAGAAATTGGTGTGTGACCTGCCATATGGATATGGGGTTTCTTTTAAGGTAAAGTGAAAATGTTTTAATTAGGATAGTGATATTCTTTATAATAATCCAGTGAAATACTAAAGACAAATGCATTTGTATGCTTAGCAATTGGTGGAGATTGTTGCATGATGTGTGAATTATATCCCACCGCAGCTGTTAAAAAAAAAGAGGGAATCTATAGGGCTTTTTATTCCTAATCTTGGAAGTCACCTATTGTCACTTATACCATATTCCTATGGTTCAAAGCAAGTCACTAAGCCCATATCTGAAGGAGGACTTAGGCTCCACCTTTGAAAGGAAGAAGCAGAAAGAGTTTGTAGGACAAATTTTTAAGCCCGATCACGACGCTAATACGAGTGGCTAAGAGTGGAGTTCCTGAGGCTGCACTGCCTCAGTGCAAACCTAGCTCTGCCTCTTACTGGCTGTGTGACCTGGATGACCTGTTTAACTCTTATTTTTTTTTAAATAAATGACACGATTTTAACATTGAAGAATAAAAAATAATTGCAGTGTAATGTCATGTGATGCTGATTTGCAAAGTAAAATCAATAAATTTAGTCCCCGAAAAATATTTTTCGTGGAAATATCCTAGTATAATCTGAGAGGTTTTCCTGACTGTAGATGTCATTCAAATTAAAGATTTGCAGAGGCTGAGTTATTTGGGAAAATACAAGTTTTCCAGTTGCTTTGGGGTAATGCTTCACCCCAAGCCAAAGTCTTTTTTTCCCTAAAATATTATGTGGGTACATATGTTTTTGTGGTTACTAAGTTTACTCTTTTTTTTTTTTTTTTTTTTTTTTGAGAAAAGTCTCGCGTTTGTAGTTGTCCCAGGCTAGAGTGAGAATGGCCGTGGCGCAGCCTAGCTACAGGCAAACCTCAGGACTCCTGGGCTTGAGTTGATCCTTCTGCCTCAGCCTCCCTGGAGTAAGCCTGGATTACAGGATGCGCCACCCATGCCGCTAACGTTTTTCTATATATATCAGTATGGCCTAATTAATTTCTTTCTAGTTTATAGTAGGCACGGTGGGTCTCGCTCCTTGCTTCAGGCTGGTTTTGAACTCCTGACCTTGAGCAATCCGCCCGCCTCGGCCTCCCAAGAGCTAGGATTACAGGCGTGAGCCACAGCGCCCGGCCTAAGAGTTTAACTCTTAATCTTCAGTTTCCTTGCCTGTAAATTGGGATATAAAGAAGAGAAATAAAAAGCATAAAGTGCTGAAAACCTAGTAAACATCCAGAAAGCGTTGGCTTTCTTCTCCCCATGCTTGTGCCCAGCCTAGTAGTTCACTGTGGCCCTGAACTCCAAAGTGAACTGTGCACGAGGCCTGTAGGAAGTTGGAGTCTCAGCCCCATGGGACTGCCGGCCTTGGTGGTGTCATGGTCCAGCCAAGGTTAGATGCTGACTGCAGTGGATTCAAAAATTTTATTTTACTGGCTTGCCCAGGAAGGACCTAGAATCCCTTGTGAATGATCCGCAGGAATCTAAATCATCAGGAGACCTGAATGCTAATTCATTATTACAGTTTATGCCAAAAAATAGAATTGCTGAGTAGACTAGAAGACTTACACTGACCAGAGAAGTCTCTTTTTGGAAGGAAAAACAGTTTTGGGAAAGCACATTAAGATCAAGTTTCACAGGGAGCAGAGAGACAAGCAAAGGCAGTTGAATTGACCCATCACGGGTTTTATCCCACCGCAGTAGTCTGCTTCATTTTGGCTCTTTGGGTCTCCTTTAGCGGCACCATCACAGGCCAGGGCCATTTCTCTGAATGGAACTCAAGATTCTCTGTCTTCACACAACAGACACTGGAAATTCTGCAGGGTTGTGTCCCTAGAGCTGTGTGACTCCCCGTCCCCAGCAGCACTGCGGCCTAGCATTTCTCCCTTCCAGGGCAGGCAGTGAACTTGGTAAGCACGCATAGCCCTCTCTGAGCCGTCTCAGGGCTCAGAGAGGGCTGTGTGGAAGAGGCAGCTGAGGACCACAGAGACAGGGGTGCCCAGCTGGGTTCCCTCCCTCCCTCCTGCACAAAAGGCTTCAGTACAGGCTTGTCCTCACCAATGGAGGGAAAATCTGTGATTGTTAGTGGCTGACTAGGCTCTGTGTAGACCCAACCTCCTTTGTACATTTGTCCTGATATTGTCACCTTTCCTGTGACTTTTAGCACATGATGGTTCTTAAACGGGCAATTGCTTTTGGGATAAATTGGGTTTTTAGGATGACTGCTGTTTGTGCTAGCCAGGCAAGTCCCTCGTAGATGTATTCTCTGCATATCCAGGGTGGCATGGGCTCCCTCTGGGACAAACTCTTGCAGACCCCTAAGTCCAGCAATGGTCTGTAGCTCCCATCTTCTTGCTTCATTTTCTGAGTGTGTCTCTGCCCGACTGTGTCCTGAGAGTCAGAAAGTCCTGTGCCCTGCAGAATTTGGGTTTGTTGCCTCCTCCAAGCTTTCTGAAGCCCACTCTTCTCTAGCATTTTCCTGCCATATAGGGCCCGTCTGTTCTCCCATTGGCTTTGGGCCCCTGCTCCCTGATACACTCTTGTAGCCTCTCTTGTACCCATTACTGCCACCCTTTGTGGATAGCATTGGTGCCCAACTGCATTTCCTTGGGAAGTGGAGACATGTTTGGTGTTAAACATAGATGCCTTCAAGATCTCATCCGTGACTGCTGGCCTTCTTTGTCTGCTTCCAAACCTCCCTCTCCCGCCCCACACTGGATCAGGCACAGCTTTTGTATAAGGTTTCTCAGTGCTAGGGAACCCTAATGAGATAATTGCTCAAACCTTGAGATAACAATACCATGGATTCTCATGGCGCCTTTCGTCCATGGACCTCCTGACACTCCAGTGTTATCTGATCGCAGCTTGGAGAGTGCCATAACCCCTATGATTAGTTCCACCTCATATGCGTGACACGGTGGCCCTGAGAGACAGGAGGGCAGTTAGGGCTGGCACTGGAACAGAATTCCTGGGCTTCTCAGATATGCATCCTGGGCAGGAGAGCAGCAGGGATTTCTGAAGGATGAAGGGCTGGGCCAGGGTTTGCTGGAGTCTGCATCACTTTGCACTGAAGCTTAAATGCCTAAAGCGTGAGGATCAAGTGATGGCCAGGTCACAGTGGTTGGTGGACTCAGGCAGAGTTATGAGACACAAAGCTTCCCTCCTTTCTGTTCTTCAAACCCTGCCTGCCCTTCCTTTAGCCAGCGACAAAGTGCAAGCCCCAGCCACCATTCCAGTTTCATGGGGCACGTCCAGATATGAACAGTTGTGATGATGAGGGGGCATCTCACTGTGCTTTGAGGAATGGTGGAAGGACTTAAGACTTCAGGTCTAGAGGAGAGAGCCCAGAGATGGCAGAACCAGAGCTGGTCAATGAAAGTTACTGTGAGTCCACTTTTGGCTCCATAAAGACGGAGCACTGAACAATCAGAGCTGTTTTAAAAGAGAAAGGGCTTCCATTGCAGGGAGCAAGCTCACCACCACTGGCGGTGACCAAGCAGAGGGAGGGTACTACTAGACAGGGGTGTTGTAGATGGAGCCATGCATGGGCTTTCTGGTTGATGTGCCCTGCCCCGCTCTCCCTGGGTCCCTAGCGCCTGTCCATGGGTGAGTTGAGTTCAGTGGCATCTTGAGGTTCCAGGGAGAGTATATTGGACTGAGAGAAAAATATCTATCAATGAGGAAGAGGAGTGAGGCCCTCTCTTTTCTCTGTCCCTGCTAGAGGCCTTTGAGTGTCTGAAGTTTTGTTTTTCTTTTATTTAAATAAAAATGAGAAAAGCCAAAGGAAAAATCCTCACCCAGCCCCTCATTCCTCCCCTGCTTTCCAGGGTTCGTCTTCCTCTTGTCTTTATGTTCCCCCCCACCCCACTCTCCTCCCTCTTCTCCTTCCTTGCTATGATCCTCCTTCTCTCCCTTCCTCTCTCTTCCTTCCCTCCCCCTCCTTTTTTCCCCCCTCTTTCCTTCTTTCCCTTTTCCTTTCTTTTTAATTACAGAGGTGCTATATTGCATGGGCATATTCGTATTGTTGAAATAACAATAACATAGATTAAAATTCCTCCTGACCACTGTGCCTCCAATTCCCAGGCTCTTCTCTAGAGGTGGTCCCTGTTTTTAATTTGGCATCCTTTCAGAACACACACACACACATGCACACCCAGAGATACATACCATACCTGTTCTTCTGAAGTGTGTGTGTTCCTTTTAACACCTTGTCTCAACACAATTCCCACACCAGGTCACATGGAGCTCCCCATTCTTCACAATAGCCCACAGTATGGCATAGTGCAGCCAAAGATGCTTTACTTAACTATTGCTGTACTGATGGACATTTCAGCTATTTCCAGTTTTTCCTTATTTTATTAAACAATGCTGTAGTGTCAGCCTTTGTGCTCACGCGTGAGTTTTTGTCTATAATTGTTACCTGGAATGAAGATTGCTAGGTTGGAGGATGTGTGTACTTAAATTCCAGCAGATGTTGCCAGGAATTACCCTGTATTTACACTTCCTTCCTCACGATGTGAGAGCACCTGTCTTTCTACATCATTACTGATGTTGGACAACTGCCCAATAGCGAGAGCTCCCTGGCATCCACCTGGGCTGGCCGGTGCAGTCGTGAGCTAGTGTCAGAGGGCGTAGGCAGGGCGAGGGAACCCTTGCTGGAGGCACTGGGGAAGGGACTCCTGAGGTGGCAAGAAGGCTGAGCCAGGTGGCTTCTGAGGCCTTCCTACCAGAGGCTGTAGGAGTCTTTGTGGGTTTCCCACGAACAAAGAACATTCCTGTCACTTTTACTCCAGTTTTCACCCAACAGGGAGCTGAGGCGAGCTTGTTTCTGTCGTTTCTTTAGGTCAGCTGAAGCTGTCCATTGAAGCCCGGGACCGGGTTCTGCTGCTCCACAGTGAGTATGGCCTTGTGCAGGCTCACCAAGGAAGGGCAGCCACTCAGCCTCCTGCCTGGAGCTAGGGTCGGGGGGTGGTGTTACCATGGGCCAAGGCTTCTTTTCTCACGTTCGTATTGCAACCTGCCATGTGTCCACTGAAAACAGTGGGTATCCTCTTGGGGCTCTTTCTACAGATGCAGCCCTGGGCCCGCCCCTGGAGTGTCTGGAGTTCACTCGGTGGGCCTTTTTCTTCAGCAGGCTACAGCTGTCCTCAGGCCTCTCAACACCTTCCTTGGCTCCTACAGAATAGGGCCACAGAAGAGCTTTGCCAGCCTTCCTTCCTTCTTTCGTCCATCCTTTCTTCTTCTCTCTTTCCCTTTTCTCACTCATTCATTTATTCATTCACTTATGGGCAGCAGTGTCACTGGTAAGATCACAGTCTTTGTAGCCAGACCACTAGAATCTGAATCCTCGCGCTGATATTTACTTGCTGAGTGACCTTGAGCAAGCTCAGTTTTCTCATATGTCAAAGGGCAGTGGTAATAGTGTCTATTTTCAGGTTGTTACAAAGATTGAGTGAATTAAAATTAGTAATGTGTTTAGAACAGTGCCGAGCATGTAGTATACCTTGTATAAGTGTTTGTTAAATAAAGTAGAAAACCATAAATTCCCAAAATAACGGTTGAGCATTGGTTGGGGACACCATGGAGAAGCACCTACCCATGTGGTGCTGATGGGATGCCAGGGAAGACCTGACAAAGGGGGTGATGTCCACACTCCATCCTGAAGGAGGAACCGGCAGTGGATGTGGGAGAACTTCATGCAGGGAGAGTGGCAAGCACGAAGGCTTGGGGGTCAGAGAGGGCAGGGTGCATTTGAAGGGCTTTCCAGCATGACTGGGGCACAGCACAAGAGGATTTTGTACTTTATGTGTCCATTTATCCATTTGTTTGTCCTTCTGTCCAGCACATACACAGTTACTGAGCTTCTGTCACGGCACCCACTGCCTGCACTCTTCTGTTTAGCCCCAAAGGTCCTGCCCGTCTCGCTAGCCTCCCTGGCTCTTGCTGCTAAAGGTGCCCTGCACCCCTTTTCTGTCCAGCTACTTGAATCCCTTGAATGCATCTGCTTGCCTGTGCCTCAGTGCCTTTGCACCCACTATTCAATGTGTTTAGAATAACCTTCCTTCTTTTTTCAACTCCTTTTGAAAAATAACTCTCCTTCACTTTAATTTTGTAAGAAATATGCCTGCCTTAATCATCATTAAGAGTCAGGAAGGAAGGCTCATTTTGCCTTATTTTTTTCCCCTCCAGGAATCACCCCTTCCTTCACCCCAACCCACCTGCCTGGGCTGGGTTTGTTGCTTCCTCCTGTGTGTCTTCATCACAGCCCTGACTACACTGTGCTTCCCTGTGACTGATCTTTCCACCAGACTGGGAATGCAGTGAGGGCAGGGGCCAGGTCTGCTTCACTGCCACTGGTGGCCAGAGAGACCCAAGAGGTCATCAGGCCTGGATCCTGCCCTCAAGAACTACACTCTCCAGGGGCGGGATGCACACAGGAACAGTAACCAGGATACTAGGCAGAGTACACCAGCAGGCGCCTGGAGTCCTCCGGTCTTGGCCATGGGGGGCCCAAGGTGAAGTTCCCAAGGACCAGCAGAAGGGTGTTCTTTGGCTGCCAGGGCCTGACTCCAGCTGTGCAAACAGTTTTTGCAAAATGCATCTTGGCCTCCACCACTCCATTTGTCCTGCACAGTTTGCTTTGGCTTCACCCCAGTCTCAGGCCCTTCAGCCCTTCCAGCTTGTCCCCACTCCTTCCTTTAGCTCCCCAGGCCTCACACCTCAGACTACTGGGAGCTCTGTCTGAGCCGAACTTTGGGCTCAGTCAAAACCAAACATAAAAGAAAAGAAAAAGGAGGCTCAGTTCTCTCAGGACTGTTGTTTGATTTCTACAGACCTCAGGCAAATGGCAATGCTGCTTTCATGACCACACCTGCACCCACCCCACACCAATCCTTTGCCTTTATTTATTATTATTTTTTTCTTTAGGAAACATTTGTTGAGCAGTTATAATACTTGTCAAGCACTCTACACAGTATCTCATTTAATAGGCCCAACTGCCATGTGAAATGCATATTATTATCACTAACCCATAAAAAATGGCAAATTCAGTCTCAGAGAGGCAAAGCAACTCTCTCGAGCTCTCATGGTTAGTAAGTGGTACAACTGGGTCTGTCCACCTCTGGAACCCGAGCTTGTGACTACAGTGCTATACTGTCCCTCAGCTGCAGCACAGCTCATGTGCTCACTGCACATGGTAAGTCCTCCAGCTTGGCCTCTTCCTTCCCAGAAGACAGTCTTATGTGTTAAGAGGAGCACTGGACTGGGAGTCAAGAGACATGAGTTCTAAATGCAGCTGTCATTCCCATTGCTCCACGATTTGGGGCAAGTTCCTATCTTTGGGTTTTCCTCATCGCCTCATTTTCTCCATTAAACGAAGGGTTGGCCTCAAATACATTTTAAGTTCCCTTCCAGCTGTGAAAGTCCAGTGCATGTATATATATTCCCATTCATCCACCCCAACATTTTCATTCTCTTTTAGTCATAGAAGGCAAAGGCCTGATGAGCAAAGAGCCTGGCGCCTGTGATCCCTATGTGAAGGTATATGATGGGGCTGGCGGTGGGCTAGGGGTGCTGAGGGGCCATGTCAGTGGGCTGAGTTCCAAGATCCCAGCACACCTGTGGGCCTGGGGCCATTTGAGGTGGTGGCTGCCATTTCATTCATTTGGTTAGTAGGCATTTATTAGACACAGTGATAAGCCCTGTGCTAGGGTAGACCCCTTCCCTTAGCCTGGCTTGGTCCCTAGGGCCTTCTGCAAGAGCCAAAATCTTAAGGGTGATCTTGGTCATACATATAGGTGGACACAGTGAGTGTGTGGGTGACTGATATCCACAGATAATCCCAAGCATTCTTGTGAAAAGCAATATCTTCACCCCCTTCCTCCCCAAACTAGAGGTGGGATGGTCAGGTTTGGGCAGTAGAGTAGAGGGAGTATCCCTGAGGGCTGGAAAATCCTTCTGGATTAGGCCCTTGCCATGAAGCCAGAGGTTCTGCGGGGACAGGGATCTATTTCCAGTAAGAGCCAAAGGCCAGGCCCCCTGGAGAGTGGCAGCTGGGATACAAGGTGCAGGTCCTGATGCATTCCTCCTGAAACCCTTGGGCAGGTCAGAGGCCCCTGTGAGCAAGGACTTGACTGGGAGCGGAGGTGGGTCCCTGAGGCAGGAGAAGAGCAGCATTGCAGCCAGGGCATGGATCTGGGGGCTTAGCAAGAGGCTGACCTGGAGCTCTTGTGAAAGGAGCACCTAGCAGCTGCTGGAAATGTAGAAGAGAGGAGGCCGTTTGCTTTTGGAGACACTACTCTGCTTGGAGGGAGAGCAGAGATGATAAAGTTGTATCCCATCTCTGGCTGGGGCATGGCCGCCTCCTTGGTACCACCCACCCTTAGGCCCTGTCCTGGCATCTGACTGCAATGGGTCTGGCCCTGGGCTCCTTGTTCTTTTCCAGCATCTGACAGGGGCTCCATTTGTCCTCTGCAGAGGCTGAGTTGAAGGACTAGGAGGCCTTTAACTTGGAGATGAGCAGGGTCAGCTGCTGGGCTTAGGTGATTACATGGCCCCCAGATGAGCTAATGCTTACTTTTCTCTCCAATTCAAGATGTCTTTGATCCCTGAAGATAATCGAATCCACCGTCAGAAGACGCAGACCATTCCAGACTGCAGAGACCCAGCTTTCCATGAGCACTTTTTCTTGTAAGAATCTGGAGCAGCCGGGCCCTCGAGAGGAGAGGGAAGGAGTGCTTATCTGGAAACAGCTCTGATTGCCAAATCTAGAACTAGATCTAAGCAGAAAAACAGTGACTTCTAAAGGATGTCTTTGTTTTCCCATTCCCTGGTGTCCTTGCATCCCTGGCAGCGGGCCTAGCAGTGAGGTCCGCAGTGATAAGGTATCGCCTGGCTGGTTCTCACAACTGAAATGCCCAGCCTGGGGCTGGCAGCCCCTGGAAAGAGTAGGCAGCTTCCCAGTGTGCCTTGGGCCAGGCTTTCTCCTTTAGCAGAAGGAATTTTCCAAGCTGAGGGATGTTTTGCCTCCCCGCCCCCCTTTTTATTTAAACTTGCTAACCTCTGTGAGCCTCGGCTTCCTTATTTGTAAAATGGGGCTAATAATAGCACCAACCTCAGAGCACTGTGAGCTGCAAATGGGACCCTGTAACCCAGCACCCGGCAGAGTGGCAGCTGCTATGGTTATTATTATTATTTCTTTCCCCATCTCTGAACTCTGGGGCCAATGGGAAGGTAATGGACACTTTATATTTTCCTATTAGTGAAAATTAATAATAATATTTTGGTTTTTTTCTCACTATACAAAGTAATTTTGCTTATTATGGAAAAACAGAAAATATAGATGAATGAAAAGAAGAAAATAAAAAACACCCATAGCCCTGCTAATCACAGACACAGCTGCCTTGCTGTATTTCTTTTCAGATTGTTTAACTTGTGTGGGTGTGTATGTCTGGTGTGTGTGTGTTTACAAAAATGGAATTGTTTTATAATAGTGTATTGTAACCTCCTTTTTGTCCTTAACAATGTAATGTAAACTCTTTATTACATGTGAGTACTCATCTCTCACACTATTTGTACTGTAGTCTATTTACTCAGCTGTTTAGCTTATTTCTAAATTTTTGGAATTATGACTGACTGCATGGGTCTGGCCCGGAGCTCAGCCCCGCTGACGTTCTGATCATCTGATTTGCTTCGCAGTCCTGTCCAAGAGGAGGATGATCAGAAGCGTCTTCTGGTTACTGTGTGGAACAGGGCCAGGGAGTCCAGGTGAGGAGAACTGCCGGGCTGGAGGGAGACTCTGTTCTGGGGTAGGGGCGGCAGCCAGCAAACAGCAGGGCCTCAGTTAGTGCTTGCTGGAAAAATGAGTGGCAGTGGCAGCACTCAACTGGAGAGGCTGCCATCCCCAAGTCCCTGTCACTCCAGGAGATGCCAAGGACTGTGTTATCAATGAGCATTTGCTGAGTTCTTGGTAGCAACAAGGCACTCTGTGGGCCACTGGGGATGCCAACCGGCCTACACATGGCTTCTGCCCTCAAGGTGCCCGCTGTTCAGGCAGGGACACCAGGCACATGGAGATAAGTTACAGTAACAATGTGCACATACTCAGTTCCACAGGACTTTATGCACCATGCAAAAGTGGCCTGTTTCTCTCTTAGTGACCACTGTACCTAGTGCCTAGCATATAGACATTTAGTGGTTCCTCTAGGAATGAAATGAGCAATAAGGACGTGAAGTGTGAGAAGAGGGAGAGTTCACTGTGGGCTGAGATGATCAAGGAGGGCTTCATGGAAAAAGCAGAATTTTGAACTTGGGCAGAGATTAAGAATAAGACAAGGAGGGAAGGTTGGAAAGGGATTCCAGGCAGAGCACAGCACGAGCAAAGGCAAGGAGGCAGGAATGTGTGTTGTGGGCTCAGGCTGCTGTGAGGAGGCCAGTTTAGGGGAGCAGAAGTTTTGTGTAGGAGAATCCAAACAGGCTGATCTTGCAGGCAGTGCACGGCATAGGAAGAGGGCCGATGTGGTCATTAGTGATGGCGGTTAGTGCAGAGCTGGGGTGGGTGTTGAGTAGGTGAGCCTGAGAATTGGCTGCTAAGTGAGAGCAATTGACTGCCATGGCCCACTGTGAACAGCTGTGGCTTATTTAGCTGGTACAGCCTAAGGCAGGGGTCCTCAAACTTTTTAAACAGGGGGCCAGTTCATTGTCCCTCAGACTGTTGGAGAGTGCTCACTGTGGGCCCGGGACAAGCGTGATAGGCAGCGGTGGCAAAAACACCCAAAGGGCCGGATAAATGTGCTAGGCGGCCCACATGTGGCCCGAGGGCCGTAGTTTGAGGATGCCTGGCCTAAGGAATCTGGGAGACTCTGTGGCCAGTAACATTTGTTGAGCAGTCAGAACTATATGGTGACTTAAAATCAGCTCAACTTACCCTCTTAGACCTGGAAAATATTTTGGGGTTGATTTTTTTTTTTTAGTATCCTACATTTCATTAGCTAGTATGCTTTTTAAAGTTGGGCCTTATTCAGCCTTCAAAATGCACAATTTTTCTTTTATTAGAGTGTCTACTTTTCATCATAGAGTGGTGCTCATAATACTATAGACCTCATCCATCCATCCAGCTGCCATTTCCTAGGTACCAAGGTAGCAACAACATTCTAGGTGCTGGAGATATCAGAGACTGTCCTGCTCTCAGGAGGATCACCAATAGAGACTTGGGGGTGTGAGTGAGGAGGGGGATGTCACCTTAATGACAAGAGCAATCATTTACTGGGTGCTGACCTTGAGCCAGGGGTTAACAGTGCATCATCTCATTTGATTCTTACAGCAAGTCTAAGAAGAGTGTGGTTTTGTCTTAAGTTTTCAGAAGAGAAAGCTGAAGCTGAGAAAGGCTAGGAACTTGACCAAGGTCACACTGCCAGTGAACAGTAGAGCTAGGATGAGAACCCAGGCAGTTGGACCCCAGTGTCCTTACTCTCGACACTGTACTGCCTCATGGCTGCACAAGCAAATGACAGAAGAAAGAGCCAGTAGAGTAGAGAGGGCAGGGCAGAGCAGGGATGGAGTGAGGAGGGATCTGCAAACTCATAGGTGTTGCTGGAGGGTCAAGTTCAAAGTAGGGACTGGCTAGAGATTAGGTGAAGAGTTTGGCATAAGCCAAATCAGATGATCCTGTAGGTTCTCTTTGGCGTGGGCTTTCTCTTAAGGGAATTGGTTCCTAATTCTGAATATGCATCAGAATTTCACCTGGGATGCTTATGAGGAACACAGATCCCCAAGTGCCACATCAGATTGATTAAATCTAAATCTTCATAGGCCAGGCTGAGGAATCTGCATTTAATCAAGTTCGCAGGGTAAACCCTATGCCGCCACTTTGGTGTTCAGGAATCTGTTTGGCCATTGGGAGATACTGAAGGCTGTCAAGCCAGGAAAAACAGATGCGCATTCTGGATCTATCACTTTGGCAGGTCTTTGGAGGGTTGGGGTAAGAGAGAAGCTTTGGGGATAGAGAAGAGGGAAGCAGGCTAGGGCCATATTTAGGAGATTGAATCAGTAGTACTTAGCAGTGATTTGGCTGTGAGAGCAGTGGGAGAAGTCAAGGGTAACTCCTGGGTGGCTGGTGGTGCCCCCAACTAAGACAATGTACTAGAGGGGAAGGTGAATCAGTTTGGCATGCAGCTTGGCATGCAGGTGCCTAGAGAGCAGCCAGGTGAGTGCTTTGTAGGCTTGCTCTTACTAACCTGGAGCTCGGAGGGAGAGAGGTCTGTTCCAGTGGCCGAGATGTGGGAGCCATGACTACAGTGGCAGTGGCTGAAATTCTGAGCAGGTGTGACCAGGAACAGCACTGAGTATCAGTGACCAAGGGTCCAGCCCACTGGATGGAAGCAGACCCCAAACTATGGGAGGAGCCATGCCTGCCACTGTGATCTCCCTTCCTGGAGAACAGACTGAAGGGGCAGAGCTGCTGGAGCAGGAGCCAGTCATGCGGATCATGGCTTTTAGGAAAGAAAGCGAGGCCGGGGAAAGTGAGTCAGCGTGACGGGGCAGTGTCTTCACTTGTTGCCTATTTTGGGAAAGTGAGATTCCTTATTAAAAAAAGCACGGCCAAGCTCACGGGCCCAGTCCCAGCCCAAAGCTCAAGAGGGACAGGGCAGGCTCAGACAGGCCTGCCTTCGGAGGACAGGGCCTGCAAAGCCGCCAGCACTGCGGGCTGGCTGGCGCAGCCTCTGTGTGCTCTCCGTGGACCCTCCCTTTTATCGATCCATTCTGAATGAGAAGGCCACTGAGTTGGAGGAGGCAGACAGAGCGATTGCAGGAAACTTCGGCTCTGCTGAACACTCTCAAATCAAATTGTGCTTCTCTGAAGGACGGACATTCAACTTATCAACATGAAAGACAATTACGGAAGGAAGGAAACCAACATTTACTGAACTCTTCTCTGTGCCAAGCACTTTACATACATTATCTCATTTTATCCTCATAATAACCCTGAGAGGTAGGAGTAATTATTGTCCCTCTCTCCAGAGAACAGAAAACTGAGGCTTAGGAAGGCTAAGCCTTGAACTTGCTTGAGGTTTTATAACAGCTCATATTTATTCAGCACTTACTATGTGTGGACATTAATGTAAACACATGCCATGCATTTTGTAATTAAGATTTGCACCACCACGTGAGGTAGGTATTATTATTATTGTTGCTCTTTTACAGGTGAGGAAACAGGCACAGAAAGGTTATGTAACTTGCCCAAGGTAACACAGCTAGGATGCAGTGAAAACAAGATGCAAATCCAGGCAGACTGGCACCACGCCTGTGTACTCGTAACCGCACTACAGCACACTTGACCGCCTCACGTGGGTTATAAATGTCTCCAAAGCCATACTTTTATTTTATTTTTTTTTTTTTTGAGACAGAGTCTCGCTTTCTTGCCTAGGCTAGAGTGAGTGCCGTGGTGTCAGCCTAGCTCACAGCAACCTCAAACTCCTGGGCTCAAGCGATCCTGCTGCCTCAGCCTCCCGCGTAGCTGGGACTACAAGCACGAGCCACCATGCCCGGCTGATTTTTATATTATATATATTAGTTGGCCAATTAATTTCTTTCTATTTTTATGGTAGAGACGGGGTCTCGCTCAGGCTGGTTTTGAACTCCTGACCTTGAGCAATCCGCCCGCCTCGGCCTCCCAGAGTGCTAGGATTACAGGCGTGAGCCACCGCGCCCGGCCCAAAGCCATACTTTTAATGTGTCAGTACACCTCCTCTCCAGGGCTCAGGCTGCTTTTCTTAGCATTTATCATGTAGTTTTCTATAAATCATTCAGGCAAATGTGTGATGGTCACATTTTGGCCTATAGAAGATAAAAGGGAAGCATCTACTTCACGATTTCTCATGATCCTTCCAGTGATGGCTGTAAACTTGTTTTAGAGACATAAGGTGATCTGCAAAGAAGTTCTAGGGAAGGGCTGGATGATTTCAGCTCATCATGGTGATCATGGTGGGAGCTGAGGAGAACCAGGCCTCAAGCAGGAGGTTTTGGCTCAGCTGTGACTTGCTGTGAGGTCATGGGTCAGTCCCTTCCCTGCTCTGGGCCTCTGTTTCCTTATCTGTAAAATGCAGTGGTTTCTAAGCTTTCTTTCAACTTCAAGGTTCTGTGAGGTTTTTTTTAAATTATAGACATTTTCAAATGAATGCAAAGGTAGAAGTATGATATAATAGAGCCTCATAGACCCATAGCCCAGTTTCATGAATTGTCAATATCTGGCCAATCTTATTCCATCTATGCCCGCCTACTTTCCTATCCTCCAGTGAATTATTTTAAAGCACATCCCAGACATCATCTCATTTCATCAGTATATCTTTCTCAAAGATGAGAAAAAAGATGTTTTTTTAAAAAAATAACTGTGATGACATTTTCCCACTTAAAAATTAATAGTAATTCCTCGATATCATTGAATATGGAACTAAGCTATTTAAAAGCTCTATTTGATGATATGGTGAAAGCCAAACTAAAGCTTCTAGTATCAATCATAGCATTTTCAGAATTTGTAGCCAGACAACAGTCTTGGAGAAAATTGTAATGTTATGTACTAAGTTAAAAAAGTACATATGTAGGCCAGGCGTGGTGGCTCACACCTATAATCCTAGCACTCTGGGAGGCCAAGGCGGGTGGATCATTTGAGCTCAGGAGTTTGAGACCAGCCTGAGCAAGAGCGAGATCCCATCTCTACTAAAAAGATAGAAAGAAATTAGCTGGACAACTCAAAATATATAGAAAAAATTAGCCGGGCATGTGGCACATGCCTGTAGTCCTAGCTTCTCGGGAGGCTGAGGCAGAAGGATTGTTTGAGCCCAGGAATTTGAGATTTCTGTGAGCTAAGCTGACACCATGGCATTCTAGCCTGGGTAGCAGAGTGAGACTGTGTCTCAAAAAAAAAAAAAAAAAGTATATATATATATAAAATTAAAGAACATAATGTTTTATGTTACTAGTAGCTACATATACAGAAGATCTGCTTGCTACATGCGCTGCACTGTCCTGGTTGCTGTAAGTGTACTCTCTCCTTTATTCCATTTTATAAACAGATCTCAGTGCCACATACAGTGGCCTAATGTCTGAAGGCTTGTGACCAGTGATGGATACCGAGCTTAAGGAAATAAGTGAATGGAAAAATATGTGTTCAATTTAAGCCACCAAATTAAAAATAAATTAAGATGAAATGATGTAACCCTGTAAGGCCCCTGAGAGAGAATTAAAGTACATTCCCTCAAAAGTAATGCATTATTTCATCTTGCAGTGGGTCTACCACCCTAGGCTCTAAAGTAAACTGAGTACTATTCTCCATGTGTGCTGCATGAAGTTACCTTTGAGCCTGTGTACTGGCAGTTCCCTCTGCCCAAAATGCTCTTCTTTTCATTCTCTCTGGCTTAAGCCATTAGGCCTTCTTCAAGCATCTCAGCCCTGAACTACCTCTTGCATCCCCAAGCCTTCAGACTTTGTTGCCTGCACTGTTCATCTGTCAATCTCACCCTGTCTTGTGACATCCCTTGTATTGCTGTCTTGAACTGCTATTTAAATTCCTGCATGTTTGTTTTGTTTCCTTAACACTGCGGCTCCTTGCCCAGTGCCTGCCAACCATAGGCATGATGGATTTATCCATTTGTCAAGCCTTCACTGGGTGCACCAAGGCCAGAGCCCAGGCCTTGGCAGTCAGAAGTAACCAAGGCTTGGTTCTGGAGACATTGCACCTAGTGAAATTTTAGGCAGTCACCCTGGTGGGTCATCCTGGAGGGTGAACGCTAGTTCCCAAGTTTATAAACTGACTGCGGTATTGCCATATACTCATGTTGCTTGTAAAAGAAATCTTTCTTCCTCCAAAGGTTTTTCAAAAACAGGCTTAAGAAATAGCTAATTGAAGAACACTTAGAGGTTCCTGCTTATGGACATTAATTGTGACAATTTACTTGGCCTGAATTATCATGAAATCATTGGAGGCCCCCTGGCAGGAAGCAAAGCTCAAGGGAGGCTATTAACCATTTAACATTCTCTAAGCACCAAGGAATGACAATTCCACTTATTGAAAAGCAGGGAGAGGCAGCCAAGCTAATGCATCGGCCTGAAGGTTTAGAAAGTTTCGGCCATACCCAGTTAAAAGAAAAGTGTATGCAAGGCAGTGTGGGCATCTAGATACCAGCTGAATGTGTTGATAAAATTAAATCAGTATGAGGACTTTGGAAAAATCTTGACAAAGCTTTTCTGGAATAGCAGCTCAGATTAGTGTCTTCTCCTTATGATGGCCACTGCGACTGCCTCCTGTTAGTGCTGACTTGGCAACTTCCTAAGAGGAAGGAGATTTGGTTTTTTTTTTTTTTTTTTTTGAGACAGAGTCTCACTTTGTTGTCCAGGCTAGAGTGAGTGCCGTGGCGTCAGCCTAGCTCACAGCAACCTCAAACTCCTGGGCTTGAGTGATCCTTCTGCCTCAGCCTCCCGAGTAGCTGGGACTACAGGCATGCGCCACCATGCCCGGCTAATTTTTTCTATATATATCAGTTGGCCAATTAATTTCTTTCTATTTATAGTAGAGACGGGGTCTCGCTCTTGCTCAGGCTGGTTTTGAACTCCTGACCTTGAGCAATCCACCCGCCTCGGCCTCCCAAGAGCTAGGATTACAGGCGTGAGCCACAGCGCCCGGCCTCGGAGATTTGGTTTTGACAGTGGGCTGGAGAGGTACATGTGGAAAGGTCCCTTTATTGGGGTGACTGTACTATCCTTTTTGAATAGATCATTAACTTGGCCTTGTATGATGAGATGGGCAAGGGAGAGGGGAGCAGATGGAGCCAAGGCTGAGGAAATGGGAGCAGGAGGAATGGTAGAGTGAGAGCAGCTATTGAGAGACAGCCAGATGTAGAGGGCTCAGCCCCCTGGATGCGAGTCGGAGCATGGATCTGCAGGCAGGTGGACCAGTTTTGAGAACCAGCCCCCAGCATTCTGCATCCTCACCCCTCACTCATCTAGGCTGCCTTTGAGAGGCTAGTTTTGTTTTGCTTAGGACTGTCAGGTGGTAAGCTGCCACCCTTCTTGGAGAATCCAGACAGTGTGTATTTGTAGAGCTCTTCTAGACCACTGGTCTTTGACTGGGGCAGAAATTGGTGGGTGCCCTGCAGGATCCCCTGGAGAGCTTTTTCCAGGCTCCCATGCCTGGACCCCAGCTTGGAGCACAGATCTCAGACAGGCTGTTCAAGGGGTTCTGTGGTGCACTCCTGGTTAGAACCACTGCCCCAGCACAGGCCCCCTTAGAGCAGGTTCCTGGGAGGCCCACCTCCAGGGAGTTCACTACCCATCCCGCAGCCCGTTCTGTCTTTGGCTTTGATATCGTGCCTTCTACAGGACGTGCCAATTCTCTCATCCACTTCAGATATTGAAGTCAACCACCAGGGTTATGCTGCAGCCTAAATATCCATGATGTTTCTTGATCGACAGTTATCAAACCAACCTATGAAGGAGTCTAAGTTGGGGAATGTGGTAAGGGAGAGGAGAACAGGAAAAAAAATACACAAAACTTGAGTGTTAGGCTAGAGCTGGGTGTGGTACAATAGAATTACTTAAGAGTATGTTGATGCTGGCTTTTATCTCCCTGATTACAAAAGTAGTGTTTGGTCCCTGTGAAAATTTGAAAATAGTGAAAATCCAAATAAGAAAACAAAAATAATAATCCCACCTACCAGATACATCCATTATTAATATTTTCATGGGCATCTTTCTCATTAAACTACAGCTTTGTAAACTTCCTTTTCTCTAACAATAGCAAGATTATTTTTTGCATTTTATAAAAATTAATCTATGCCATCACTATTAAAAGCTGCCCAGTATTTGTCAGTCCCTGACTGTTGGATGTTGGAGCTCAGTAGTGAATGTTCTCCAGGAACTCTGAATTCCTCTTCACCAGTTTAAACCCAGTCCTCGCTGCATTCCTGCAAGGCCTGACCTGGCTCATGCCTACCTGCTCCGCTGGCAGCCAGGTCAGATTGGTCACAGTGACTTTGTGTGTCAGGTTGGTTTGGACCTCGATCTGGAACCATATAAGAACTGCCTAGGTCATGCCTGGGCCTGACACCAAGCTTCTTGAGTTTGAGGTCCCATAACTTTTCTCCCCCACTGAGCATCACCAACTGATGTGAGAGTTGAGATTCCCTGCAGGGACCAGCTCTTCAGATCTACCCAGCACCAGAGCAGCTAAAACCGCCAAGTCATCCTAAGCTTCTGAGGTCCATGGAGGAGTGAGGACTGAGTCCTCCCCACGCCCCAAACCTGACTACTAATTAGTCCTGTGACCTTGTAGGGGAAGCAACTCTGGGCCTCCAGTTTTTTCTCTGTAAAATGGAGATGGTAACTCCTCTGTACCACACCTCACAAAGTCCAGAAAGATCAAACAAGATGATGCATGTAAAAATGCTTTGTAAATTGCAGAGCATCAGGCAAACCTATATTATGTTTGATAAGCAACCTCCTGATATAGCCCAACAAAAAGTGCTGACTCAAGCCTCTGCTGATCTCCCAGACAGGGTGGACTCATCGGCTGCATGAGCTTTGGGGTGAAGTCCCTTCTGACTCCGGACAAGGTGGGTCCTAGGAAGCTTCAGGCAGGGTCTTCCCACCTGGGCCAGGGTGGGTACAGGCAGGCTTTGTCTAGAAGCCCTGGGGTGAGGCTTCTGTCTATAAGATGGTGTCCCACTGAGTGGCCTGAATAACAGCAGTATGTCACCTGCCTAGCTAAGGGTTTGGATCCCCTTTTTGGTTTGTCTTGCAAGAGAGCAGTTGTTAGGCAGCCCCGAGTCCTCCCAGGAAGTTCTGAGTCTGGAGTCTGCTGTTAAGGACACTGGCAGGTCCCTTGGGGCCTGGAGCACTCCTGGGCCTGCCCTGGAAGAGGGGGGCCAGGTGCTTCTTGTGGCCCATTCCAGGGAGCTCTTCATGTGTCTACCAGGTCTGATATTTCTGGGTCTAGCAGGGAAGGAGCCAGCAGCACCATCCTCTATGGAGTTTTCCTTTAGGCTGGGTGAGGACCCTGCGAGCTAGAGACCCCTGCCTCTAGGTCACCAGTCCCTTATCCATCTCTACTCTGCACTGCACCCCCACACTGGAAGGTGGTGAGCAGGGAAGGGAGCCACTCCTTTTGCATGTCCCTGGAAATGTCCTGGTGGTCTGATGCATGGCCCTGCCACCAGCTTTGAGTCTGGAAGTGCATTCTGGGGCAGATGTGAGGACTCTTTATCCTGCACATGGGTCCCAATGATCTCCTGTCCACAGCCCTGGCTTCGTTCCCCCTGGAGACTGCTCAGGAGCCTCAGGATGCCCACTTTTTGGCTTCTCCATCCCTCTGTCAGTCCCTCCCCTCTGTTCTCTCAACAAACATTTATTTGGCTGTTACTGTATGCTAGCACAGTGCTAGGCACATCAGAGAGCCTAAGCACAGCCTAGTGGGGGAGGTAGGCAGGCAAGCAGATGGTTGTCCTCCAGGGATAAGAAGCTGCAGGAAGTTGGCAGAGGGGAGAGCCAGCTCTGCCCGGAGCCTCAGGGAGGCCTCCTGGAGGTGCAGGGGTAGCAGGTATAGCATCTTTGGGGTGAGGAGGCTTGAGGGAGGGTGTTCAGCAGCTACTTTTTGAGGGTGGTTGATGGCTTCCTGACTTGTGCCCTCTGCCTCCTTTTTGAGCATGTCATTTCTTCTTTCGTGACAGGAGATCAGTGGCTGGTACTACCTTCTAGGGGAGGACCTGGGCCGGACAAAGCACCTGAAGGTGGCCAGGCGGCGACTGCGGCCACTGAGAGGTGCATGTACATTCCCTTAGCTTCCTTTCCCAGGACCTTCCCCTCCCTCACTTCCTGCATAGTGGCATCAGACCCTGTGTTTGGTGGCCCCTGCCACTCCACGCTGCTGTTGGGCTGTAGGGTGCAGGGGCTTCTTGTGAGCACCTGCTAGAATGCAGGCCGCAGGCAGCCACATTTGTTTGTCTGACTGGGCTTTCCTGGAGAGGGTTATGGCCTGACCCCACATGGTTCAGCTCCCCTCACCCTTTGCTCACGGAGGGCTGGGTGCTTCCCCCATGGCTCTTTCCCAGCTCTGTGTCTTAGGGATCCCCTCTGGGCTGCCTTGCAGACCTTGGGGTTCCCGCCTCTGCAGAAAGAGCATTTAGGCCCTGCCATGAGCACCGACGCTCAGGACTTCGGTTCTGCCTTTCCCATGTGTTGTCCTGGCTCCTGAGCCCCTGCCTGGCTTGAGCCTCAGGCATTCCCACATCCTGGAGGCCGGGAGTGGCCCAGGCAGCCACAGGGGCCTCTTGCCTGATGTTGTCTTCTGGGAGGTCTCTGGAATGGGCCCTTATATGCAAGCAGAAGCTTTCTGACTCTGCTCTGTCACCTTTCAGACCCGCTGCTGAGAATGCCAGGAGGTGGGGACACTGAGAATGGGGAGAAACTCAAGGTAGGTGGGGACAAGCCTGGGCATTGCTCCAGGGGCTCTAATCTGCTCCTTGTCAGTCCCTTGGCCCAGGAAACCCCTAAAGAGGTCAGCATTTGGTGCTTGAAACTTAGCAAGTCGTGTACTCAGAAGGGATTGATTCTTGACTTTCCTAAGGCCCCCTCGATCCCCTGCTTCCCCTGGCACTGGGGCTGAACCATCTTCTCAGGCTTGCTTAGTATTGGGGACAGCTGTGATTCTGAACCCAAAACGGATGGGTTCTCACTCCATTAGTGCTTTGAGTCTGGAGAGGAGCCTTCTTCAGGTAGCATTTTGGGAGAATTCTCCAAAATTCATTCTGCTCTCTGCAGGGCATGGCAAGTGCCCCATTGTTTTCTCTAACAACTAAGAGAGGGAAAAACAACCTCCCAGCAACTGGTCAGTCCCTCTGTACCAGGTGCTGTTGTTATCTAATCCTCACTGCCACCTCTGAGGTAGTTGTTACTTTCCCATCTTAGAGGTGAGGGGACACGTAAGGTTCAGAGACATTTCAGAGACTCTCTGTGGCCACACAGCCAGCAAGTGGCGGAGGCAGGCTCTGAGCGAGTCTGGCTGCCTCGTAGGTGCACTGTGCCCCGCTGCCTCCTGCTTACGACCTTGGGGGGCAGATATATATATTTCATAATAGTACCTTACATAGAGGCGTATTATAATTTACAAAACATTTTCACTTTCATTGACTCAATTCATTCACTCACTTATCATTCATTAAGTATTTCCGCCTATGTGGGCCAGGCCCTGTGCTGGGATACAGCTGTGAGCAAGCCCAGGGTCCTGCCCTCGCGGAGCATACAGTCTAGAGCTGCACTGTCCAAGGTGGCGGCCACCTGCTGCCTGTGACGGTTGGGCACTTGAAATGTGGCAAGTGTGCCTGAGGAACTGAATGGGAACTTCTGTTTAGTTTAACGAATTTCAATTTACCTTGCACGTGTGTCCAGTCACTGCCGCACTGGACAGCATTGCAGCTGTCAGAGTGACTTGCCAGGTCTGTTGGATCCGTTTTCTGTGGCTTCCTTAGGATTTGAAAAGCTTTTCTCTGGTTTCAGTGGGGAACTGCAAAGACCTTTTGCCCTCCCTCTGTACTTTCCGAGCACAGAGAGGAAGGTGACCAGGGAGCCTCCTGGTGATCCGTGGGAATCACGCACACACTAACACTGTAATGTTCTTGGTGGCTTGGGGAAGTCCTGGGGGATTCCACACACAGCCTGTGAGCTCCTGGGGGCTTGTTCTGAGGTGCATTGGGTTTTCCTGAGCTTTACACTCGAGGATATCTGTAGGACTCAACAAAGAGGGTGTGATTGGCAGAGGCTTGGTTCGGGCTCAGGGAGAGACTCCAGAGGTCACCTGTTCAGCCCCTGCATTGTACAGGTAGGGAGATGGAGGCCCAGAAACCCGGGTAACCTTCCCACAGTCACACAGCAGCCAAAGCTGGGCTGGACCAGGGTACGCCCTCTGTCATCGACGATGTGAGGGGGTGGGTGGGTTTCCCCAGGGCCTCTGAGATGGGCAAAGGGGGCCGAGCTCACCATGTACTGCTCTGCTGGACACATCCTGGGACTGCAAGGCAGAAAACAGAACCTGAGGTATGGGCTCAGCCCCCACTCCCCTGCTGTGTGACCCCTACCTCTCTAGGCCTCAGTTGCTTTGTCGGTAAGATGAGGAGGCTGGATCAGCTGATGATTTGGAAATCCCTTCCACATTTGACTTTACAGTACACATAGCACCACATCCACTTGCATGGATAAGGAAAGCGACTTTTAAGTAGCTTCTGAGTGGCAGGCAGGTCCTCAGACGCTAGATGTTTTGTGTTCCCTGTCTTGAGATGGGATGTCTGCAAGTGCAACCCCCCACGGCGTCCTTGGATTCTTTAGGCTGGGGCAGTCCCCTGGATTTGCTGCTGGGGACCCTGGGACTTGCAGGGAGAGGCGGCGTTGTTATAGAGCTGCCGTGTTTTCTGCCTGGGTCTCCTCCAGTGAGGGGTGTTTGTGAGAACATTGGAATCACAAAGTGGCCCATGGCGGAGAATGCAGCCAGAACAAAGGCGCCCTCTCCCCGCCAGGCTGGGGGAATACTAACTAGTTGACAGGAATTTTAATATAAAACTCTCTCTCTTCCTTGTCATGCTGAGGTTTCAGGAAGCCTTCGGGCTTATCGTGTAGAGGCACACAGCACAGACAGGGCTTGGGGAGGTGAGAGGTGATTTCCTGCCATTCTTCTGTGGGGCGGGCTTCCCAGGGCGGTCATGCCAGGCTGACGGGCGCAGCACGGGCTCCCGCTGCTGGGGGGAGAGCTGGGTTTTCATGGGGCGGCAGCCGAGGCAGGACCCACAGCCATGAACCGCTTCAATGGGCTCTGCAAGGTGTGTTCGGAGCGCCGTTACCGCCAGGTGGGTGCTTGGCCCCATGGGGGGAGCTATGGCATGTTGGGGGTAGAGGGTGGGGCCCATCTGTGCAGGACCTCTCTCCCCATGAGCCCTTCCTCGCCTCCTCCTGCTCCCTGCAGGCTCATTTTGATCTGGGGAGGAGGTTGGGGGTAGGAGCTGGACCCACCGCCCAGCCTGTTGCCTACCGCCCCTCCGCAGGGCCAGACGTGGCCCAGCTCTGTGCGTGGTCCTAACCACTGACGGGTGATGGGGTGTGCTTGGTGAGACTGTCTCGCTGACTTTCTGTTCTTTTTCTCTGGGGAGCGGTATGGATTAAAAAAGACATCTCAAGCCTGAGGTTGAAGATGACTTAGTTGCTGAGCAGCTGGGTGTTTCTGGAGGGGGGTTTGTATTTTTGCTCACGTTCCCTACATCTGATGGGACAGCAGTGCCTGTCCTGCCCTGTGCCTGTGTGTTGCTGTGTGTTTGTATGTGGGCTGGGATGTTTTTGTATGTATGTACGTACACATGATCGTCCTCCCGCACAGCCCCAATGCCTGGCGGTGGCTTAGGATTCCTCTGGCTTTGGAGACTTCGCTGAGAGGGTTTGGCTTCAGTTTTGCAAGCAGGGACAGAGTGGGGACTGATAATCCTGTTAGCCCCAGAGCATCTTCTGGAATTGCGATGGGGCATTTTTTCTTATAAAAAAGGAATGGAGTCAGGGAGGGTGAAGGCAAGGGATGTCTAAGCTGGAGGGGAGCTCAGAAGTTGTTCTGATTTTAAAAATATAGAGAAGCCCCTCTGTTTGTTTTAATGACCACATTGGAATGTGAGTCCTGACTCCTCTGACAGGATCTGGCAGCTGCCCGCTAGGGGACCCAGTGTTTTCCCTCCAGCCCTCCTTAGTCCCAGGGTCTGCCCTGCAGCCCCACTCTGCGCTTTCTGCCCTCTGGGAGCCAGGCAGAGCAGCCCCTGTGACACCAGCATCTGGGTGGCAGAGTGGTGAGGCGAAGAGAGCACTGGATGAGATGTCTGGAAGTCCTTGGTCACTTTGGGACTATGGGCCAGAAGACTGGGGCATGCTGGCAGTCGGAGTGGGGGCCAGGCATGATTGTGGGCTGGACCTGGGGCCCTGGGACTCAGAGTTCAGGACAGCTCCTGTGTTAGAAACCAGCACAGAGTTGAGAGTACCAAGTTTTTTGTCAGACCTAAGTTCAAATCTAGCTCTGTTCCTCTTTGGCTGTGGCTCTTAAGCAAGTCACTTTACCTCTCTGAGCCTCACTCTCCTTGTCAGTAAAATAGGGATAATAAAGTCCAGTGCTGATGGTCTGAGAGTAAAAGGGATGAGGCGTATGAAGTACCTGGCCCAGCGTCTGCTATGGACATCTAGGAAGCATACATCTGGCAATAGTTGGGGGTTGAAATCTAGGTAGGAGAGAGGATCAGAAACCAGGCAGGAGGACAGAAGTGAGGTGCTGGCATGGGTGGGGCCCGAGAGCAGTGGCAGCTCCTGCCCTGGACAGGAAAGAGCAAGAACCACCCCAGGAAGGACAGTTTCTGCCAGGAGCCAACAAGGAATCAGGGCAGGGCTGCCCCCTTCACCGCCTGATCTTGAGAGGCCCAAGGTCAGAGAGGAAGGCTGAGAGCAGGAGGGTGGTGGGCCTTGATTTCCTTCTCTGTAAAATGGGCATCCTAAAACTAGCCCTGCATTCCCATTGGGGCTGCAGGGAAGACCTTCTTTGGACACTACCCTCTCAATGTGGTCAGCGATCGTGAGTCTGCTTCCTCCGTGTAGTCCACCCCTCACTCTGAGCTAGGAGGTGAGCGTGCTTCCTGACACCCCCTCCACTCCTCCTTCACACCCCCCAGCTGGGTTGCACTGCAGTCTGGGCCGGCTCTTCGTAGGCTCACATCCAGCAGGGTGAGGGGGCTGTAGTCCACAGTCCTGATCGGATGAGGGGACCAGAGCCTGGCGAGAGGCTGTCTTGCTGGAGCTCACTCCTCTCCAGCCTCAACTCTGGAGCTGTTACCCAAACCAGCCAGCCACGAGCCCAGGGTGCTGGTGGTTGTTTTCCAGGCAGGAGGGGCTGTGGGCCTGTGCTGGAGCAAGACTGGGAAAGTGCTAGAAAGGCTTTGGAACCCTGGCTTCTGTCTGGGCTGAGTGGTGACTTGAGAGACCCCTAAAAATTCCTCCTGGTCCCACGGTGGGCCAGCCTCCTGGCATCTTCTGTGGCCTCAGGTGGGCTTGGCAACTAGTGCTCGCTCCTTTCCTCCAGCTTTCCCCGCTTACCCTGGGTTTGTTTTTCTTTCTTTCTTTCCATTTTTTTCCTCTTCCTGTCTTAGCTGTGTGCTTTCCCAGAATTCTTATGGGAACGGGGTATTTTCCTGCTCCCTCCCCCTTCCCCTTGTCTGTCAGATTTCCTGTTTTACAAACTGCTTTGAGTCCAGGCCCTGGGCCGGTGGGAAGCAGAGCCTCAGGGGCCCCAGCCGCTTCCAAGGGCCTCTGTCACTCCGGGCCTCCTCCCTCCCCTTCCTCATGCCCGGCCATCAAGGCCAGCAGGTGAATGCAGGTGCCCAGGTTTGGAGAGACAACCAGTAAAGGAAGGAGACAGAAGTCTTCTGACAAGGCTGTCGCCCTTGACCTTTTGCAGGCTTGCTGAGCTGGCTGCTTTTTCAATTTGCCTCGGACACCCTTCCTCGTGCCTCACCAGGGTCTGCTCAAAGTCCTATTTCTTCCAGGGGGTCTCCTGGGACCCCACCGAGCCCCTTTCCTGACTTATGCTCCCTTAGCAGCCTGAATGAGCCGGCAGATCACACTGCACACTGCATCCTTCTACGGGTGGGATGAGGCCAGGCTGTCTGAATTCCTGCCATTAGGAAGTGTGGCCCAAAGTCAAAGCATAAGGGACTCTTCGCAGCACAGTCCTCATGCTTTGCTCTATTGCTTTCTGCCCTGCTTTGCTTTGGAGAGATTTGGGCATCCTCATGCTCCTCAGGGAGCCAGAGACCAAGGCCTCATGCCTTATGCCTCAGCAGAGTCTGGCATGCAGTAGGAGCTCAATAATTGTGTATTGGTTTGAAAAGAGTATCCAGATAGCAGGGCCCTTTTCATGGGACTTCTGAAAATAGGGGTAGTGGACCTACCAAGCACACAGGTCTTCAGAGGCACAGAGAGGCCAGTGGCTGGTTGGGGTTCAGCTGGGAGGCCGATCCGTGCCCTCTCCTCCCCTCTCCTGGCAGCCTCTGGCTGCCCCAAGAACCCCAACTCTCTTCCTCTGATCCTTGGCCTGAGGCTGAGTGGGTATGACCCAGTTTTCCCTCCTCTGTGCTCTGGGAAGACAGTGACGAGGCTGGCTTTGTCTTTGGGCCCTCGGCACAGGGCCAGCCCTGGGCCAGTGCTCTGTGAGTCTCTATGGGACAGGAAGAAGGGAGGGAGACACAGGCAGAGGAGACACAGTGGGTCACAGGCAAAGTGGGGGCATGCGGCGCCAGTGGGCGCTTGGAAACAGGGCGGGGGATGCTGGGGCTGAGGAGGGCAAGGTTCGCCCTTCCAAGACCTTGTCCATCCCAGGCCCTCCCTGCGTTGGCTTGGGTTTACCTCCTGAGCTCTCAGCCTTCCCGCTTGGCCCACAACCCAGGGCCCAGGATGCCTGTGCTGAGACAGGGACAGCAAGCGCCTGGTCAGCTCCTTCTTGGCTCTAGTTTCGCTGGAGAGGAGGGTGGCTCTGGGGTGGGGTCTACGGGCTTCCCGACCAGGGCCAGGGGCAGCAGCCTCCGGCTTCTGCAAGTGACTGGGCAGGGCTGTCTCCTAGATCACCATCCCGAGGGGGAAGGACGGCTTTGGCTTCACCATCTGCTGCGACTCTCCGGTCCGCGTCCAGGCCGTGGATTCTGGTAAGTGAGTGGCTGGGGGAGGCCAGGCCTACTTGCCTGCCACGCACCTGGGCTTTGCAAACAGGGCCTGGAACAGAAAGGGGAGCCCCAAACTGGAGCAAAGTGTCCTGGTTTTGCAAAATGAAAAGAATAATATTTTTAAATGACCATAGATGAAACTGAGGTTCATGAAAATATGTCTGCTTTTTTTTTTTTTTATCAAAATGAAAATAGGTTTTTATATTTTGTTTTTCAATCAGTTTAAACAGGAACTAAACCTGTATCAGTAACGGCTGCATGGGAAAATGAAAGTCATTTATTAAGTCTGCTTGGAATCAGTATTTTATCCTAGACCAAGCCGGATTAGCACTTTAAAATAGTCATTCCTACCCTACTTTTCACAAATAAAAGATTTCTCTTAATCACAGGGTGAGCATCTTAAGGGCAGAAGCCAGAACTCAGTGATTAGGGTGTCCTAGTGCCTGCACGGGGCTGGTGCTCAATGACTGGTGTAGGAGCGAGTGAAGTGTGTGAGCCTGGCAGAGGGGAGGGTTCTCAAGGGGGTAGGAGGCCCTGGGGAGGACGAGGGGGCCTGAGGAAGGGAGGACAGCAGAGAGGTGAGCCAGCTCCAGCAGGGGTGGGGAGGGCAGGCAGGGAGGCGGTGAGGGCAAAGGGGTGCCTCCCTGCAAGGCCCTTGAGGGCTGCCAAGTTTGGCCCCTCATTTCACAGATGAAGAAACGGAGAGAAAAAGGGCAGTCCTTGTCTAAGGTCACCATGGAAGCAAAGGACTGCAGGCCCTTTGAGGGGGTCTTGGGCTTTCGGGGGAGGAGGGCCCTGAATGGCTTTTCTTTGTACCTGCAGGGGGCCCGGCAGAGCGTGCTGGGCTGCAGCAGCTGGACACGGTGCTGCAACTGAATGAGAGGCCTGTGGAGCACTGGAAATGTGTGGAGCTGGCCCACGAGATCCGGTGACAGGGGGCAGTGGGCGGCCCGGGCCTCAGGCTGATGACACACTCCTCCCTTCTGCCCCCCAGCCCTGGCACACTGCCCTGCCCTGCCCTGCCCTGCTCTAGTCAGTCCCTGCTTTGCCCAGCTGTGAGCAATTCACTTTGCTCCTCAGGGAATCGGTTTCTTGGCCTGAAAATGGAAGGTTCAGGCTCAGAGCAATTTGGGATCCCAGAGCAAACAGCAGGGAAGAAGCTCTCAAACAGACCCTGTGGTTTGTGACATGGCTCCAGAGGGTTGCTTTCCACTTTAGCTAATTATTTCTGCTACCTAAGAGCTAAGCCCATTCTTTTTTACGATGTGTAGATGTTGCAAATGTATCAATTGCACAGTTAAGAAATTATTTTTAAAAATGTTTGGGTCCTCTAAATTTTGACCCCCTAGGGTAAAACACTGATAGCCCCATTTTAGGTTTTCTTCCAGAATGACTAGATGAGGGGTTGCAGTCAGGTGGCTTGCTGACTCCTGCTGGCTTATATTTTGCCTATGACGGGCATCATAAGTTGAGTCTGGTGCTCTTTCCTGTTGAACCTGGCCTTGGCCTCAGGGTCTTTCTCGGCCACTGCCAGTCAATTAGAAAGAGTTGACCTAAGAGACTCCTTTGCTGTCACTGCTTTAAATGGCCTCTTCCATCCCTTCCTGTCCTGACACTGGGGGCTTCTCCCCTTTGTCTGCCTCCTCCTCCCTTTCCTTTCCTCTCAGGCCCCTGCCCTGGCTGATACTGGTCTTCCCCAGGCTCAACCTCTCTGTGTGATGCCCAACTTCCAGGAGCTGCCCCAGTGAGATCATCCTGCTCGTGTGGCGCATGGTCCCCCAGGTCAAGCCGGGGCCAGACGGCGGGGTCCTGCGGCGGGCTTCCTGCAAGTCAACACATGACCTCCAGTCGCCGCCCAACAAGCGGGAGAAGAACTGCACCCATGGGGCCCAGGCACGGCCCGAGCAGCGCCACAGCTGCCACTTGGTGTGTGACAGCTCTGATGGGCTGCTGCTTGGCGGCTGGGAGCGCTACACCGAGGTGGCCAAGCGTGGGGGCCAGCACACCCTGCCTGCCCTGTCCCGTGCCACCGCCCCCACCGACCCCAACTACATCATCCTGGCCCCACTGAACCCTGGGAGCCAGGTAGGGACAGCCGGTGTGGGAGAAGGTGAAGGGCATTGGGTCCCCATGGGAGGCCAGGAAGACTTGAGGACTCAAAGTTGTGTTGTGAGCAGCCTGCAAGGGGAAGGGAGTGTTAAGCAAGGAGACAGGCTATGTCCTCACTCTGAGGCTGTCCTGGGTAGAGAGGGCAGGGGGTCTGCGTGGCCTCAGGGCACAGATCCAGGACCAGGGCATGCATAGGCTAGAAGGTTTCACCTTGTAAGAAGGAAGAGCTTTCTACCAGCCTGCAATTTTCCATAGTGGAATGGGCTGCTTTGATAGGTAGTGAGCCCCCTGTCATAGGAGGTGTGAAAGCAGACACTGCATGATTGCATGGTGGGAAGACGGAATGAATTCCTCAAAACATTAGTCCCATGAGATACTTTGGAAAAAGGGTGTTCTAAGGTCAAAAAAGTCTGAGAAATAGCGCACACTCTTTTCCTCTTCTGGGACATTTCTAATGCAAATTAGCCTGTCGGAAGCTCTGAGGGTGTCCTGCAGTGAAGAAGGTGGCTTGACCTTGTTTAACGCAGCATTTCCCAAACTTACCTGACGGTGGACCCTTTATGCCATGGTGTTTAGCGTCCTACTATTTCAGTGTTCCATGGATGCACTTTGGAACAAGCTGCTGTAAAGGAAGGTGGGGACTCGCCAAGGGGTTAGACTTCGTGGCACAGAAACCCTCTTTCAAGTCCAATATTCTGGGATTCTGTATTCCCTCCAGGCCTCCTCCCTCAGCTGGTTAGAACTGCTGTTTTCCCCTCCTGTCCTGAGGTGCTCCACTTCCTATCCCCGGCCCTCCGTCCAGCAGCCTGCTGGGCTGTCCTGCCCCGTTCCTGGGGCTGAGATGATTCTCCTGTTTTTCCCTTGCAGCTGCTTCGACCTGTGTACCAGGAGGATACCATCCCCGAAGGTGAGTCTGCCCTCTGCTACTGTAGTGCCCTCCTAGCCCTGAGGGACAGTGGAGGCCAGAGGAGGCCTGGCCCAGCCTCCTCCTTTGAGTTCAGAGACCTTTCTGATGGAGTCACGGTCACCCAGCACATTGACACAGACTCTCTTTCCCCTTGGTACCTTTGCTCCCTCACTGAACCAGCGTCTGTCTTCCTTGAAGCCAGAATTGAGAAGGAAGAGAGGCGATCTTACCAGAACGATCTAAGAGCTACAGTGTTCGGGACTCAGGCATTCAATTGGGTTTCATCCAGTTTTACTGAGCAACCAGGCAACGTGCTTGGGCCTACATGGAGGAGAGTCATGGGGTTTGGAGCTGGAAGTCTCAGATTGGAGTTTAAGCTGTGTAACTTTGAGCAAATCATACCCCCTCACTAAGCCTCAGTTTCTTCATCTAGAAAATGGGGCTAATAATTCCTACCTCGGAGGGCTGTGGGAAGGATTACACGAGAACATGGTCGTGAGTGGCAGCCCGTGCACTGAGAGATGCTACACAGAGGGTAGTTGTCTTTGGAGGGCAGAGATGTCTCTGCTGTTTGATGCATTCTTCTCCTTTGGCCTTCACATCCTGGCCAGGGATGGAAATTAGCCTCAAAACCAGTTCCTTCTCCCAGGAAACCTGCGATGTCCGTCTTGGTGCTGACTGGCTAGGCATTCCGTGGGGCCTTCCATGTGTCTGCAGAGAGCTCTGACTCAAACGTCCAGCTGGTGCCTGGAAGGTAGAAACCAGCCAGGTGGCCTGTGATGCTCACCTTCGGTGTGGCTTGAGCCATTCTCCTGGGGCCTTAAGGGTGCCCGTGAACTCCCTCCTCGAGGGAGTTCTCAGAGCCACTTGCAGACTTTCTTCCTTGCCACTTTCCTCTATCGGCGGCATGAAGACGATGCCTATAGTGGATACTTAGAAAAGTGCTTGTGCCTTTTTTGGGTGCGGAGGGTTCCCATCAGGCTCAGGGGTGCTGATGGAAGCCACTTTCTTTCCCTCCAGTCTGGGGCTTTTGAGCAGTCGGGCCTGGTCTGTTGGAAATGAATCTACATTCCTTCTGGGGAGGAGTCTGATGGCGATTCAACAATGAGTTTTTAAAAAGCTTTTAGTCCGCACATTAGGTTCGAGTGGAGGTGCCACTGCTAGGGGACTTCATTAAGGGAACGGCCTGGGCCTGGCTCATTTCTGTGGGCCCAGGGCTGGATCCAGGGCCTGGCAGATAGCTCAGTGGAGTCTCCGTTGAGTGACTGGCTGAAGGAGGATGACTCTGGTTGCCTCTAAGGGTTTGGAGGCTGGTCATGGAGGAAGGGACCTGGATTGGTGTGTGGCCTGCAGTGGGCACAAGGGCACAGGCCAGATGGTCTGAGACTGGGTTCTTCTCAGCCCAAGAGATCGCTCTGTCTCGCCCTGGTATGCTCCCAACCTGTGCTCATGTTTTCATTCCCCTCTGAGGGTGTGATACTTACTGAATCAAGAAGGGGCAAGTGAGGAAATGATGATGATGTTAATAACAATGGTAACTTTTTGAAAGCATTGTGTTAAGATCTTGACCCTACTGTATTTGTTCTTCATAAGCATAATCCTTTTGGTATCCAAGGACATCTTTGCTTTTTACCAGAGATCGAGTCTTTGCAGCTCCCAGTCCTGGTGTTCAGAGGAAGGGGTGAAATTCAGGGCACAGAGCTTCCTTTAAATACACTTGGGGTTGTCCAGAGGTTGAGGCTATCACCAGGGCGCCAACTTCTCAGTCCCCTCCTCTGGCCAGGCTGCCAGGTGGTAGCCTTTCAGGAGGAGTGTTGAGCCATCCTCAGTTGAATAGGAGGGAGGGTTCAGCCATTCTGAGTTGAATAGGGTCTGATGCCCTTCCGGGCCTGGGGTGCCTGCCTGGCTGTGGTTGGCATGTTCCCCAGGGCCACTGGTGCTCTCGGTATTGTCCCTTGCCTTGTGAAGGTGGCCTGGCCTCGGATTTGCTGTTGCAAGAGCAGGGTGGCTGCCAGGGCTCCCCTCAGAAGCCAGTAGCAAAGCTGTGTGATTCCTGTGTTTGCTCAGTGAAGCAGGTATCAGAGGAACACGGGGTGCCGTGGGGTCCGGACCAGACATTGTAAGAGGCAGCAGGTGGGAAGTAAATGAGTTTTCCTTCACGGAGCTCAGTAGTTGGGCTGCAACCTGGACTGTTCTGAAAAAAGATACTTCAAAAATCAGTTTTGGAGAGCCACTCCTACCTGGGACACATTATCCAGGCGTGGGTGGAGATTGGGGCACTAGGACATGAGTGTCACATAGGTTGGGTTGATTCCGACTTGTATGATTTACTGGCCAAATGACCTGATTTACTGGCCAAATGACCTTGGGCAAGTCACCCAACCACTCCAGGCCTCAGTTTCCTTGTCTATAAAATGGGAGTAAGCAGACCTTTCCTCTCTGAGGGCAGAGTTGTGTGTTGGGTGGTTTATTTGTGACTCTTGAGGCCCTAGGTAAAGATTCTGTGACAGCCCTGGGCAGCTGGGCTAGGGAAGGGAAGGGAAGATTTTTTTTTTTTAAGTCTGAGACTGGGGCAGCATTTGTAGATAGCGACATTTTGAAATTTTGGTCTGTTTTGCCTCAGTCCCCTGCTTGTCAGTCCTGTGTGGTTTTGCCTTCCCTGGCCGAGGCTTGGCCGTGTTAAATTAGACTGTCTAGATCCAGGCTGCCCCTGGGCCCCAGTTGCAGGGTGGTTTGAGGCCCTGTCTGTCCTTCCACCTGCCCTGCTGGGTGGATGACTCAGCCGCTTAGGGGTTGTGATAATCCCTGGTGCACTCACACTCTGATACAATCCGCCAAGCCCTTTCCTACCAAGTCCCTTGTGTGAGCCTCCCGCACGGGCCCTGGGCAAGCAAGTCGCAATCTGTATCATCTCCACTTTGTGGAGAAACCCAGACTCAGAGGGGGAAGGAAACTGTTCGGGGCTGCACAGCCAGTACCTGCCTTGGGAAGTCAGTGATCGAGTTCCAACTCAAATCCAGTGCAGATCTCGGGACTCAGGATGGTTACGTCGGCAGCAGGGCTGGGGCCTGGCAGTGCACGCCCCTCTGGGGCAGAGGGGCAGAGCCCGCTGGGACAAGGAGCTGTGGAACTTCTGCCTTTCGTCCGCTCCCCTTGCGCCCATCCAGGCTCATGTTCATTCTTTTCCTCTCTGAGCGGCTCACTGAAGAGGCAGGAAGTGGTTTGACTTACCTTGGTTTGCCTGCTGCCCCCAGACTCGACTGTGATCAGTGGTCACTTGTGGGGAGAGTCAACTTGTTTTTCTCACCCTGCTTGGTAGGTGGGAGGAGGAAGCAAGTGTGAAACCTTCTGAGCGCAGTGTTTCCTTTGAGGCCATGGGCCTTGCGTTGGTGGGGAGCTTCCCTGGTGTGTAGCTGGGGTCAGGCCACCTGTTCACCCCTGGCTGCCAGGGCTGGGGGTGGCAGAAGGAGGCCTGGGCCTTGGGCCTCAGGTCGGGCACCCAGGTCAGGAGGGACCTGTCCATTGCCCACCTGGCGGCAGGAACCCCCTGGAAGGGGCCCAGGTGTGTGTGGAGCCTGATTACTCTAGTTTGTCTCCCACCTGCTTGTGTCCAGGAATCCCTCACTTTTTAGCTATTCTGTGTTTTGTCCCTCTGCCCATATGCTGGGGCATGATAAAGACCTGTACACTAGCCCTTGTTCAGGTGAGGGTATGTGTCCAGCAGTATTCCCTCAATGAGGGACCCCCTGCTGCTGCAGCCTGTGCTTCTTCCCTGGGGATGGTCCTGTTTCTCCCTTTCTCTCTCTCTCTCCTTTTTATAATTAGAATAATTTGTTGGTTGGTGGCCAAGCAGAAGTACCTCCTGGATATAGTGAAGTCTGGGATTCCCAGAGTTTCATGGGGCACCTGATTTCCAAACTTGCTTGTTCAAGTGGAGGAATCACAATAACAAAAACAACAATAAGTGAGCAGCTAACTTTGATCACACATTCAACAGGCCCCAGGCACTGTTCTAAAGACTTTACTTAGAGCATCTCATTAGAGCATCTCTAATCCTCGCAGCAGCCCAATGAGCTTGGTGCTATTGTTATACTTGAGGAAACCAAGACTCTGAGGGTGAAGTAAGTTGCTCAAGGTCACGGAGCTAGCAAGAGGGGAGCAGGATTTGAGTGCAGCCGTGTGGCTTCAGAGCTTGTGCTCTTTACCAAGACCTGGGGCAGCCAGTGCCACTCCTTGTTTTAGACTCACCGAAGTGAGCCAGGCTGCTGGCTCTGATGCCTCCTGGGAAAGCCTTGGTCCCTGCCACCACTGCAGAGAATGGGTTTTTGTCCCTGGAGCTGGGAAGTGATGGAGTGGGTGAGCTGGGCTGGGCATGTGCAGGGAATAGTGGGGATGGTGGCAGGGTGGATGTGGGGGCCACATGCCCTGCCACACAGCATGGTCACTGCTCTGCTCCAACTGGTTGTCCCACATGGGACTGTGGGCCCAGTGAAGTCAGATCTTCTGATTTTTCAAATAGGACAGATTTCTTGATTTTTAAAAGCATGAAGTCAAACTGATGATTCTGATTTGGGCCTGGATCTCCAGGTGGGGACTGCTGCCTCTATCCTAGTTGGTGGTCCCCAGCTGCATTCTAGCCCTGGAGTTGCTTGTTGACATGTCAGTGTCTCTTACTACAGTGGGAGGGAATTCCTTGAGGCCTGAGGACCGTCTGAAGCCTCTCAATAGTCTTAGCACCTTGAACCAGGGCCTGGCACCGAGTAGCTGCTCAGTAAATGGTTGTTGATGGAAAGAGTCTCTGCTCCCCATTTCTACAGACGAACCTGCTGTTGCAGGAGTGACGGAAACATCTCACAGTCCCCCATCTCTGTTCTGCAGAATCAGGGAGTCCCAGTAAAGGCAAGTCCTACACGGGCCTGGGGAAGAAGTCCAGGCTGATGAAGACGGTGCAGACCATGAAGGGCCATGGAAACTACCAGAACTGCCCGGTCATGAGGCCACATGCCACACACTCAAGCTATGGCACCTATGTCACCCTGGCCCCCAAAGTCCTGGTGTTCCCTGTCTTTGTTCAGGTGAGTCTGTGGCTGGCCTCCAGGGTTTGCTCAGGAGGAAGTGAGAAAGAGGAGGGCTTTTGCTGCCTTGGACTTGGGATGCTGCCTCATCCCAGGACTGAGGGCCCCCTTTTGGGAGAGAAAAATAGCTTCAGATGCTCAGGATTCTGGGGTTGTACTGAGGGAGAAGAGATTTCCAGGAGGATACACAGGAAAAAGTGGGGCCAGGCAAGCACAGCAGTAAGAGAGTCCTCTCCTTCCCCTCCTCACTTCCCCTCACTTCCCCCCACTTCTACCCGAGGACAGGGCAGGTACGAAGCAGCTGCTTGTACTGTCACAGGGCCTGTTTGCTGAGGCTTCCACTCCCTGGCTCACCTGGTGGTTTGATATTTGGAAGTGACCAAGGGAGACCCTGAGGCTTGGCACTAGCGTCGTGTCTGGTCTCTGCTACATGTCTGGCCAATGTTAGTTGGTGGCCTGAGATTCATTGGCTCTCCCTTCTTTTACTTCTCCCTCTTCTTCTTCCCTCTCTTCCTCCCTGTTTTTCTCTCCTTTTTAGAAATAACCTTTATTTATTCCATCACCCAGATATAAGAGTGTGAACATTTAGATGTCTTTTGTGTGTGCATGAACACATTAAAAAAATGAAAACATATCTTATTCTGTATTATATCCTGTTGCTTTTATTAAATGAAAATTGTAGCATGAACATTTCGCACATCATTAAATGTTCTTTGAGCCTGTGTTTTATAGAGGTTGCACACTATTCTATTATGTGGACATACCACGTTTAGTTAACCAGTTCCCCACTCAGGTACGTTGTCTACTCTTTTATTGTAAATAACTGTGATAAAAATCCTTGTGCATGAGTTGGCTCTCTGGTTATTTTCCTTGGGAGTGATTCCTAGAAGTAAAATGACTGGGTCGTGGGTCATAAACATTTTAACAGCTCTTTACACATACTGACAAATTGCTTTCCAGGAAGATTCTATTGCTTTATTCTCTCATTAGCAGCATAGAGGTGACATGGCCCTTAAGGCTTCATTTTTGATCATGCTTCTCTAGTCTCCCTGACATCATACTCTGAGCCTGTCACCGTCCAGTGGATCTTAGAACTCAGACTTTGTTAGGGCACAACACACCTCTGGCAGGCCACATGCCTCTTCTTAGCTCTGTTGGCAGGGCCTGGCCTTTGCCTTCCTGTTGGTCTCTTTCTTAGGATGTGACACAAAGTTCTTGACATCTATGGGGGTTAATTTTCATTTTTATTTTAAAATTTTTATAAGAAATTAAAATTGGTTTTCAAAAAGTTATGAGTATGTTTAAATTGTGAAATATATAAACTAAAAATGGGATAACATTTAAATGTACAGTTTAACAAACAGTTACAAAGTGATTATCCAATGAGATAACAGGAATAGAACATTACCACCACTCCAGAGCCCATACATGTATTCCTGAGCAGAATGTCTTCCCTTCCCATCAGAGGTACCGACTAGCCTGACTTTAGGGTAACCATTTCCTTGCTTTTCTTTACTTTTACCATCTATGTATGTTTCCCTAAATCACATGTTTTATTTGGCCTCTCCGAAAGTTATTTAATGAAGTCGTACTGCATGTACTCTTTTGGGTCTTGGTTCTTTTGCTTCACATTATTTATAAGAGCCATCGGGTTGTTATGTGTAGTTGACATCAATTTCACTATCTTTGTGTGATGTGATGTACTTAGAAGCCATGTTATAAATACACATTCACAAGGACAAGTCTTGCTGGTTGATCCAGAACTTGGGGAGCTTCCTTTGGGCTGGGCTGGATTAGGTGGGGTGATGGGGTGGCGTGAGATGTTTGGGTGAGAATTGGTCCCTAGGGAACTGATGGCTGAAAAAGTGTCAGCTCAAGTGTATTATGAAAGCAGAGTAAGGACTGTCTTGGTCTTGAAGGAACTCAAGTGACCAAATCTCTCGGTATGTGGCTCTCAGGATGCCTCCTGGGGCTGACAGCAGGGACCTTCCTGTGTGACATGAACAAGACGGTGGGAGAATGTGTGGGGGCTGGAAGGGCCCAGGAGCCCATGTAGGGTGCAGAGAGCTGGGGGTGAAGTGTGCAGGGGCCCTAAGCATGTGGTTGGACTTCCTGCCAGAGAGCGTAGCTCTTATGGTGAGAGTTGGTGGGGAAGGTGGTAGCAAGGGTTCTGCACAGGACAGCAGCAGTCCGTCTTTCTGTTTCCTTCTTGCAGATGAGGGGGCGTGTGGGTTCTCAGGTTGGAGGAGGGCTGCCAGACTTCTGTCAGAGGGCTCTCTGTGGCTAGCTTTGACTGGCTGCTGCTCCCTCCCCCGTGGTCTCTACCAGGCCTCTTTGAATTGCCCACTCAGTTAGAGCCTTGCTCTGTTTCAGCCTCTAGATCTCTGTAACCCTGCCCGGACACTCCTGTTGTCGGAAGAGCTGCTGCTGTACGAGGGGAGGAACAAGGCTGCCCAGGTAAGACTTTCATCTGTGTTTCCCGGGGTGGTGGTGGGATTTCCTGGTGGGCTTCGTTGGCATCCTCCAGTCCCCTCGCTTTTCTCTCTTCCTGGTCGTCTTAGAGTTGTACAGTCTCAGGCCAGAGGAGAAATAAAAAGTCCCCGCACCTCATCCCCACTGCCCTCCTTACCAAATGGCTAGCCAGCCCTTCCTTGTACATTTCCAGTGATGGGGAACTCACTCCTCTCAAAGCTATTTAGTCCCTTTCCGATGGTTAGAAAGTTTCTTCAGCCTTTAAAGACATCCCATTGTTTACTCCAAACTCTTCTAAGGAGCCGAAGAGATGGTAATTCACCCCAGCCATGGTGAGTAACTTCGGGGGTGAGAAGATTAAAGCTGTTAACCAAAGAGAATTTTTAGAGAAGTATCAGTTACCCAAGTTTTCTGGGTCTGTATTGACCCAATTCCCATATCCTCTTTGGAGAGATGAGTCTATGATTTTTCCTGGGTTCCAGCTCTGCCAACAGGGTGCCGAGGTGGGGTCTTGTCACTCTTCCTAGGAGAAACCCCTGCTTCTCTCGAATCGGGGGGATGTCACTCACTCACACAGTCCCCAGAGCTGGCCAGGTTCCAGCTCAGTCCCTGAGCTTAAAACTACTTGGGAACAGAAGTTGAAGCCCTGAGATCTGGCCCAGTTCCCTGGGGCCATGGGTGGGGCTGGGGGGGGGTGGGGCTTGCTGCAGGTCAGGCTCTGATGCACAGCTGGCTTGGCCTGGTCATGTGGCAGCTTGGGGTGGTGGAAAGATCAGGAAACTTGGAGGCAGGAAGCCTATATCCAGCCCCAGCTCTGCTGATGGCTCACTTGTGAATTCTCCCTTCTTCCTCAGTCTTCCTATCTGAACAGTGGGTATGTATGTTTTTGAGGCAGCAAGGGCAGGGTCAGCGGTTGACTGATCTCTAAGGGCCCTTTTAGCCTCTGCATTCGGGGGTACTGTGTGTGATTGTGGCTAAAGCAGGAAGTTGGTTTTGTTTTTAAACAAGCCGACCAGAGCTCATATGTTCCAAATGAACCTTGTCTTTCTTAAAGGAGCTCCCAGGGGGACTGCATGCTTATTTCTACCATTCAGTATTGCTCACTGTGTTTCTGGACTTCCTCTTTTCTGGACCTCCTCCTTGGGAAATTTCTTAAGAATCTCAGCACATCTTCTGAGCTGTATCAGTGGGAGTAAAACTTCATCTGTTGGGGGAGATTTAAGTTTTAAGAACGAGAAATCACTTGGAGCTATGTTTGCTGAAACATAAATGCGTGGTGGAACTCAGGTGTCCAAGGGTCAGAAAGGAAGGTGTGGTGTAAATTCCCCAGACTCCTAAGAAGGCAGTTAGAAATGGCAGCCACCTTGGAACATACACATATGTTAAATTCGCTCTTTTGTTTGTCCACTCACCATTAAATCTGCAAACATTGGGTACTTATTTTGCATCCTCACTGTGTATGCATTTCACACACTTGATCCCAATTAGTTCTTGCAGCACCCCCACAAGAGGCATGTTTGTCCCCATTCTGTAGCTGAGACACTGGTGAGATAAACTGGGACCAGAGGGTCTCAAGGCTGGCAAGGGATGGAGCCAGGATTAGCACTCCAGCTCGCTCCGGCTCAGCAATGCTTTCCATGATCCCCTGCTGCCGCTGGTATGTTTGTTTAAAAGCCAACTAAGGAGCACAAGCTGAAACCACAGCCTGGTTGCAGTTACAATTTGTCCAAAAAAGTCTTCACTCATAGCTCTTTGGAGCCTTAAATCCAAGAGACACCCCCCCCCCGCCCCCGCCTCACCCCTAAGATTGAAGGAAGTGATTTGAAGACAAGTAAAATAAATACATTCCTTTTTCTTGAAGTATTATAGCAACCAAATGTGTAGATCTTGGTACCCTATCATGTTACTCAGGCCAAAAACATAAACCAATTCAAGAGGGACTTGGATAAATTCATAGAACCGCAGTATTGGTTGGGCCCTCAGGAGTCATCCATTCTAATTATTTCCCTGTAACTTCCCAGCTAATGGTTTTTGAATCTGCAGGGGCAGCCATCTGAACAGTGGTTTTATTACTGGAGAGTGCTAAATTGTGGAAAGTGTTCCCTTCCTCTTAATAGAAATCTTTATTTCTGGACTGTTCCCCCTTGGGTTCTTTGTCCCATCTCTTCTCTGGGCATGTTCAAGTTTACTGACTTTGTGAGCTGATCCAGTACCATACTCCGAACAGCCCTGGTCATAACCCCTCCCAGAAGTCACACACTTGATTAGTGTGGCCTGAGGTTAAATCAGCATTTTGGAGCTGCCACATTTATACATTCAAACAATAGTTATTGAGCATCTACAACGTAGCCAGGCTAAGTGCTAGGTTCCAGGAATACTATGAAGCACAGGACAGACACACCCTCACTTTACTCACTGACTCAGGGAGTTTAACATTAACTAAAGGCACCAAGGTCTTTTCTACAAACCTTGCCCTTGGGCGAGGTTCCCAGGAAGAAACTTGGTTAGGGCCACTTAGGAGAAATCAAACTCCAAGTTGTAAGGATTCCCTAACTAAGTGATCCCTCAACCCTTGACCCTTTGGAAAAACAGATGGGACCTTGGAGCAAGTATGGGGAAGACATACTGGTGAGCCCCATGGCCTGTTGTGGAAGGCAGCAGGTAATCGGGCCATGGGGATGGGCATTGCTCTGCCGTGGGCTGGGGAGATGTGAGGGGTCCGCATGCCCTCTCCTGGCACGCTTGCCCCTCTGCCCTGCCTCCAGCTATGTGCCAGCGCTGGCCTTTCCCTGACCCGACCTTTGGGGAAATTCTTCATTCATGCCTTAATCACTTCCTGTCTAGACCATATTCTCAGCTCTGGGAATCTGAGCTGGAGCAGTGGCCTGGCCCTTTTCTCACCTTGCCAGTGGCTCCTCCCTCCGTGCCCTCCTTCCATGCCGCTCTGGGGCTGGGCTGCCTTTTGACTTTCTAGGCTCCTGATCGTCTCCTCCAACTCTTCCCCTGCCAGCCTCCCTCTGGGTCTGGAGGTGACTGACAGACTTCCCTTGAGTCAGGGACACGTTTTGTGGGAGCCTGAGGGTTTGCCTTGTGTTTCTGCCAGTTTAGAGTCTTCTTCCCATTGCTTGGACTTTGGAGTCTTCTCCTCAGACAAACAACCCTTTGAATCTTTCTGAACTCTCAGGTCATTTTCTTTTCCTCTCTTAACTTTATTATTTTTGGTCTTCTTTGCTCCTCTTTTTCAGTCCTTGTTTGGATTCTTTCACATTCCATAGGCATATTGCTACCTCTCGGTAGAGGGGGAGCTTTAAGGTCTACCAGACCTGAGCAATGGCCCTGCTTGTGTGGCTGTGGACAGTCACTTAGCTTCTCTGAGCTCTGGGGTCCTCATCTGTAAATGAGAGCAATGGTGTCATTTACAAGTGAGGATCCACTGAGCAGAAACTAAGCGTTTAACAAATGGAGGCTTCTCTTGAGCTGTATTGAGACAGGGCTGTGTTGGGAATGGGGTTGGATAGGGCCACCACCAAGATCCCTTCCAGCCTTCGTGTTTGGACCCCCTTGGAGAAGCTTGGTCCCCCTTGGATCCCCCTGAGAGCTCCTGCTCAAGGATGTCCCACTGTTGTCTCTGTGACCCGTATTTCCTCAAACCACTGTTTGCGCTACACTCAGAAGTCAAGTGATCCTTTGATATATTTTATTAATATATAAATTTAAATTACAAAAGTAATAGTCTCATTGCAAAATAATGCAAATTAAACCATAATATATGTAAGTAAAATCCCACTCCCTGGAGTGAGGACTGTGTTGAGTATTTTAGATATTTTTTAAAATGTGTAAATGTAGAGAGATTTATAGATTTGTCTTATAAAATTAGATTATACTCTAGGTATTTGCACCTTGCACTATTTTGACTTATGATAGACAGATTTCTATTTCTGCCCACATAGCTCTACTTTTTTTTTAAATAGTGGCATAAAATGCTACCATATGAAGGTTGCATAATTTATTTTATCCATCCTCTCTTGATGGGCATTTCTGTTATTTTCTTTTTCTAAATTAAAAGCAAAATGCTGCTGAGAACATCCTTATATGTTTATATTTATATATCCTTATAAGTATTTCTGTAGGACAGAGTCTTAGATTAGAGCTGTGGGGTCATCTTGTGCCCCTCAGTGCACGCCAAGCCCTTCTGGCTAACTCTTCTTGCTTCAGAAGAGATGAAGTATCAGGTTTTGACACCTCAAAGGGAAGTTCACATAATTAATAATATTTTGTTTTCTTTGGAGACTCTAAAATTGGATTTTATTGCTTTTGAGAAAGGCCACTGCAGGATTTACAAAACAAAGAACAGTGTAATCTTTAGTGGCATTAGAGGATCAAGTGGATTTTTTTAGCACAAAACTATGCTGAGCATGCCTGTTGGTTTACCTATAATGTCTAAAAATAGCTTTCGCCTTTATTTTTGGAGCAGCTAGTGCATAAAAGAGATAAAAGTTATGTACGTGTCTGTATTGGAGCGTAAGTAACTGGCTTTTTCTTGAGCTAATTTCTCATTAATGCAGTTAAAATTATCTGCAAGGAATTTAGTAATATGACCTCACGCTGTGTGCCGCTTCACTGCAGTCTGAGGAGAGCTTGTTTGGAAAAAACCTGTGAGCAACTGTTTGCACCGATGAGAAAATTGAGGCTCCTCGGGTTAAGGGAAATTAACCAATTTTTTTTTTTTGTGGTTAGTTAGTGGCAAAGCTGGGATAGGAGCCTCATGACTTCTGACTCCAAGTCCAGTGCTCTCTTAGTCAGTCACTGACAGTGGAATAAAAGCCAATATGGGACATCCCATAGCTCAAGGGCGACTGACTCCAAGCCAGGAGTGCTGGGCTGCAGACTCCAGGGACATTTGGGCAGAGAGGTGGGCCTGGGGGCATTGGGCTGTAGAGAGGCTTGCAGACACCATCCACGTGCAGGGTGAGGGCCTTCTCTTTCTTCTGTTTTTTCCTACTCAAGGAGTGAAAGTTTGGCAAACTGGAGGGTGATGAGGCCGTCTGGACCGCAGGTCAGGTCTCTGCCCTTGGCTGTAGCCACACTGGGCGCTGCTCCTGGTTCCGCCTGAGATGATCACGGCCCCCAGCCTCCCAGGGACAACAGGGCAGCCAGTTCTGTTTGCTCTCTTGCGACACAGGTGACACTGTTTGCCTACTCGGACCTGCTGCTCTTCACCAAGGAGGACGAGCCCGGCCGCTGTGACGTCCTGAGGAACCCCCTCTACCTCCAGAGTGTGAAGCTGCAGGAGGGTAAGCAGGTGCCGGGCTGCTCTGGGCACCCGTCTGGGATCTGGCTGCCAGCCGTCAGCGGGGCACTTGAGCATGTGCCGTCGGGCTCCGTCCCTGGGCTGGTAGGCTCTCAGACATTGGCAGTTCTTTAGGCTGGCAAGTCTTCTGATATGCCCTGAGCTTTTCAGGGAGGTTTCTATTCTAGAGACCTTTCAGGGAGCAATGGAGTAGGGTGGGAAGAGCTTTGGACTCAGACAGACCTGTGTTCAAATCTTGGCCCTGCCCCTTACTACTGGTGTGACCTTGGGCAAGTTACTCAACCTCTCTGAGCCTGTCTTCTCATGTGTAAGTGGGGATAATAACAGTATCTCAGAAAGTTGTTGTGAAGATTAAATTAGGTCGTAAGTGCAAAATGCCTGCTCAATAAGAGCTTGTTGCCACCCCACAGATCCATGGACAGAGACCACAGCTCCCCCTCCACCCAGCCGCACGGCCCAGCCTGAGCCCAGGCAGATGGGCGCAGGCACGTGTGGGAGCGCGAAGGGAATTTCTAACCCAAACTTTCCACCGAGCCCTCCTCCGCTCGTGGGACGGGAAGCCAGCTGGGAGTATCTGTCGGCGGTTTGGTTTGGCGCCTGAGGTCTCTGCTGAAAGGGGCTTGATTTCCTCTCCCAGATTATGAAAACAACAACAGACCTGTTTGAGGGTGGGTGACAGGGGCAGGGAGGAAAATATTACCCAGTGAAAGAATTCTGTTTTGGCGGGTTTTGCTCCAGGAAAACTTCCTGACTGTTGCAAACCCATCCTGTGTGCTCGGTGCCCTGGCGGTTCCTCCTCCTTGGAAACCCGGTCAGTGTGAGAACCTCCACTCTCACTTCCCCACCGGAAGCCCCTTACGGCTTCTCTAGCTCTGGCTTTCTCCTGCCTAGGGAGGGGAAAAGCGAGTCAGTCACCTTGTGCTGGGGCCAGTCCCTCCCTCGGGGCAGGCTCAGCCTGACCCAGGGTCAGTGGGAAGGAGCAGTCCTCTGAGCCACTCCTGCCCAGGCACTGGTGTTCCAGGTGCTCCCCTGTGCCTGCTGGAGTGGGGCAGGTTAGAGCTGCAGCAGACTCTGCCCTGGGCTCCCCTCCCACCCACATGCCCCTTCTCCCCTGTCCCTTTGGCCTGCCTAGAGCACGCACGCGCGCGCGCGCGCGCGCACACACACACACACACACACACACACACACACACTCTCGCAGGACAGTCCCTTCTCTCCTCCTCCTCCCTAACCGCAGCTCAGACATCTAGACCCAGTCACATTTGAGCAGTGCTGGGCAGGGGGCAGTAACGTACCCTGGTTGGTTAGAAGAATTGAACTGTTACTCTGTTGTACCCACTATAAGTCTGGGCCACAAGCCCAGGTTTGCTCAGCTTCCTGCTGAAAGGAGGGAGGGGAAAGATGGGGGCTCAGACTGGCTATGCTGTGGGTGGAGGTTGGGGTGGGGGTAGGGGAAGAGGGCAGTAGCTAGGAGTCTGGGGGTCTGGGCTGGGCGTCACTGCTGCTGTCCTGTGTGCACGACTTCTCCTGCCCTTTCCTTTTCTGGGCCTCAGTTCTCTGACTGGGAAATAAGGGTTGGGCCAGCCTTTTGTGTTTCCTCCCAGCTCTGACACCCCATGCAGAACCCCCAAGGTTGCTGTGAGAAGCTGGGAAGTGTCTATACCATCTCACCTCCACCCTTTGGGGGGCCTGGACAGGGAATTGGTTAGGGGTGGGGTGAACTTCATCCTCCACTGGGTTGTGATGGTCAAGGTGGTTGGTGTGGGGCCTCGAGGTATAGCAGAGAAACTCTGTAGATGCTGAGCTGTGTTCAAGCAGTAGCCTTGTGCAGGCCTGGCTTCCATGGCTCCCGTGGCTCCCGTGGCTTCTGTGGCTTCCTCTCCTTGCAGATGGTGGGCAGGCTAGACAAGGGCTGAGGGTGGCCAAGGCAGCCCCTCTCAGGAGAGATGACCATGGCCGTGAATGCCCACTGGGTTCGTGTGGAAGAGGGGTGTGTCTATGTGTGTGTGTACGTGCCTGCCCTAGATTTGTTGTGCAGACAGTTTAGGGGTAGCCCTCAGGCCTGAGATAGTTTGGAGTAGACCTCTAGGCCTGAGAGCTGCCAAGAGAGAAGGAAATGGCTCCATGACACTGAGCAGTGAAGGTGCACGTTCCAATGCTTAGAATTCTTTCCAGGCACCAGTAGAGCCCTTGCTTCTTCCCCCCTGCCATCGCCACTCCCCTAAGACAGCCATGTGGGTTCACAGGTCCACGGAAGTTCAGTGACCCCTTCCCCTGCAGTCATAGTTGGAGCCGCAGGAACCAATGTTCTGAGTCCTGGCGCCCGGTTTCCTGCCCGCCTCCCTGTGCCCCAAGAGACCCACTGCTGCAGCAAGGGCCTGAGTGAGGCTTTTAACAGATGCATTTGGTGCCTTAGCTGGGGCCTCTGTTGGCAGAATGGTCTCTGATTAACATTGCTCACGACGCCTAGCTTTCTTGTTTGTCTCTTTCACATCAACATGTATGCAGAGTTCAATCTGGGGCAAAGAAAATGGTAAACAAGGAATGTACCCACCCTTTCCGGCTGGCAGGGGCTGGCAAGGGCTATTCCCTGGCAGGGGAGAATCAGCCGCACTCCAGGGACCAAGGACGCCTTCATGTGTGTGACTTGTCTGAAGAGTCCTTAGCTCCACTGGCCAAGCATACTCCCAGGGCCTGGCATGGGGCACAGAACACTGTGGCTGCCCAGTGAGTGAGTGTTGGGTGAGTGAATGACTGACTGAAAGGAGACCAGGAACACTGCCTCAGCTCCGGAGCTGGGCGTGCACCCCTTCCCCAGGGCTCCTGGCCGGTGGCCTCTTAAACCCTGCCTGCCCTCCTCCTTGCCCAGCCCTCCCGCAAGCTTCAGCAGGCCTGAATGGCAGTGTGATGGGAACAGGCGGAGAGCTGGCGCTAACAATTGGGACATCTCCGGTCAGCCGGGGCCCATTGTGGTCTCTTCCTGTCTGCCGCCCGCTGGCTTTGCTACTCTTTGTGTTTCTGCCTCCTAGGCAGCCAGCATCACGCCCACCGTGTGTCTTCCTGGCCTGCGCATGTCTCTCAGAAGTGGCCTGGAAATGTTCAGCTGATCCTTGGACTCTCCACCCACCTTGGGGAGCCGGGTACCCAGTTTCAGAAGCTTACTTGCTTAGGTCCAAGCTGCTGGAGTGCTTGGAGTTAACTCTTAGTCGACATTTTCCGAGCACTTCCTGAAAGCCCACGCAGCACTGTATGCTGAGGTGATAGCAGTGGAAGGGACACATGGCCACCTCTGGACCTCATAGCCTGGTGGAATGGCAGATGAGTAACCTGTGGAGGGACAGGAGTGTGACACCATGGTCAGGAGCACAGGATCTGAAGGCAGGCCACCCGGGTTCAAATCTCAGCTTTGTCACTTACTCACTGTACACCTTGTGCAAGTTGTTTTTCCTCCCTGGGCCTTAGTGTTTATATTTGGAGAGTGGAGACAACACCCCTCCCAGCTTGCCTCAGTGGGTGGAAAGGGTTCAGTGAGTGGCTGAGTTTGGGATCTCAGACGAGGTGAGAGAGGGCTCTGGGAAAATGACAGAGGGGTCGGACCTGGGCTCCACCCAGCCCATGACTGGAGATCCCCCCTGCATGGACCAGGCATTCCTTGGTGGGAAGTGAGGTACGCTCTGGAACCAAATGGCTCCATGTGGAATTTCAAAATGGCAGAGGCAGGGGAATGTTAAAGGACAACCCACATGTGTGCTGCCTCAGTGTCCCTTCTCCTGTGCACTAGCCCCCAGGTCTAGCGCTGCAGAAGGGGCCGAGGTGTCTGTCCTGGTCAGCCCCTTGCAGCCTCTTCCCGAAGCTGCTCCTCCTCCCTGGCCCCCTTGACTCCCTGTGTTTGCTGTTCTTCTGTGAGGCTCTGAACCATGCTGAGCACTGCCCTGATTCCCTCCTCTCTGAGTCCTGCCAGCACAGGCTGTGATGGGGAGCAGATTTCAGCGAAAGTTTACAGTAATGCAGGGAGGTCAGAGTGGGGGGCAAGGGTGTCACAGCACAGAAAAGTTGTCAAGGCAATTCATCGGCCATTCCCTGCCACAGGGACTGTGTCTTAGTGTGTGTTCCCCCAACCAACCCCGGTCTTCTGTCTCCCCGAGCCTCTCATCTCCTGGGCTTTCTCCTCCCTTCCAGAGCCTTCTCTCTTCTCATGGCCAGTTTCTGAAACCCAAATTTCTGTTATTTTCTTACATAGATCTTTGTGGCTCTCCCTTGGCACTAGGGTCTGCTTCTGGAAAGTCAAGGAAATGTCCCAGTATGTTCTCCTAAACAAAAGAAACCACCTCCTCTTGTCTCCACCCTCAGCAATGCAAGGAACCAGCTTTGAAATTACAGTTTGCTTAAATATGATGGAGTTCTTAGGCAGGGCTTCCTTCCTCCCAGCCCATCGATAGGTGGGGAGAAGTGGAAAGATTTATTCTCTCGAAGTCCAAAGTGAATCCTCATTTACTTACGGGCTATTTTTTATCTGGCTCTGGCTGGCAGCCCCTGGCGCTGGGATAATTTTTGTCTAGGGAACTGCCATATGCTTGCTTCAAGGGGCCCTGGCCTTCACCCACACCAGGGCCCTCACTCACTGCTTTTCTTAGGAATTGGTGTGGCCCACAATTTTTTACCTTGCCACCTTCTCTTTTTAAAAAATGTTGGTTTCTTTGACAGTGTCTTTGCTTTAAGTATGTGTTGGGGGGTCTACTTTGAGCCCAGCTCTGGGCCTCATGGCTTGAGAAGACAGAGGGGCTGGTAGGGCCTGTGTGGTGGGCATTTGAGAGGTGGGCATGTAGTGGGTCGGAGTGTGGGCTCTGGGGCCAGGCTGCCCAGGCCTAAATCTTGGTTCTCCCCCATTACCTGGGGCAAGTTACTTAATCTATCTGTGCCTCGTGAGTCCCAGAGGACAAGACCCCTGTCTGCAGGGGTTGTGGTGAGGGTCGAGTTTATACGCGGAAAGCATTTAGGACAGTGGTTGGCATGCAGCACTATGGCACTCTAAAGTTCTGTATAGTCGCTTCCCTCAACAATGCCAGCCTATTGCTTGAAGTGCAGGGAGTTAGTGATCATCCTGGGCCCATGCCCAGACGAGCGCCCCACTGGGGGGTGCCGCCAGGTCCCGAGGGGTGGCTGCGGTGGTGAGGGCAGGTGTCCTGGAGGAGGGGGCAGGGCTTCTTCTGCACACTTGCTCACTCTCGAGCACGTGTGCTTCTCCATCTGCCTGACTTTGCCCATACTGTTCCCACCTCCTGGAGTGCCCTTTCTTCCCATACTCAGATGGGAAGGTCCACAGCTGGAGGTCATCTCTCAGTGCTCTTGCCTCTGAGGCACTCTGAGCAAATCATCAGCCCTTAGGTCAGTATTCTACCTTAGCGCCTCTGCTGGAGGAGGAGGGACCAGCTGACAGCCCCTCCCAGCTGCCTCCCAGGTAGAGGGGGCTTGGTGAAGGGTTGCAATTGGGGTCCCAGACCAAGGGTGAGGGGACTGTAGGAAAACACTCAGAGGGGTTGAGCCCCAGCCTGGAAACCATCTCTGGGCTCCACCCAGCCCATGACTAGGGATCCCCTCTGCAGGGCCCGCCATTTGCTGGTAGGAAACAAGGCCCACCTAGGAACTAAACAGTTCCTTGTTGAATTTCTAAATGGTGAAGACAGTTGGTGTGTTCAAAGGAAAACCCCAGCTGTGTGCTGCCTCCATGTCCCTCATTGTAGGGATCCCGGAAAGGAGGAGGCCTTCCTGGGTGGATGACAGCTCCGTGCACCTGGCTGTTTGATGCCCAGAGGGTGCTCCTGGCCACCCCTCCTGGGGATGAGATTCCAGCATTCCTTGGGCCAGGCTGACTTGCGGGCAGGGCACACCACGCCGGCTATTTATTTAGCCAGCCTTCCTCCAGGAACTTCCCAGTCTCCTGCCTACCTCTTTCTCCTTCTTTTTCCAGGAAGCACCACACACAGTGTTCTGGCCTTCTGGGCAAGACAGCCGACTGTGCTCGAGCAATCTGTGGGGACTCGTTAGCCAATTCTAATGTAAGTCTTTTTGTTCTCTCAAAGGTTCTTCTGAAGATCTGAAATTCTGTGTGCTGTATCTGGCAGAGGTGAGTCCTTTCCTGTGCATTTGAGGAGAGAGATCTGTGACCTGGCACTCGAGACAAGACGCTGGGCTGGGTTCTAGACCAGGGCTCTGATGCCTCCACACCAGCCTCCACACCAGCTCATGCAGTGGCCCAGGGCAAGTTCAGAAGGGCAGTTTCTTGCTTTGTAGAATGGGAATAGCAGTCCCTGCCCATGCCTCTCTTACTTCTGTGTGCAAGACCTGTGGGCAAAAAAGCACTTAGAACTGACCCTTGGGATCTCCTGCTCAGGACCTCCTGACTTCCCTCACCTGCAAGAATCATAATGAGGATGTGGCCTGGCAGGTGCGCGTCCCCCTCTTTATTTGTTAATAGCCCAGATTCCTGTGCCTGCCTCTTTCTTCTACTTTTTCCAGGAACTACCTCCCACATCCCCTCCTATAGGGTCTTGTCAGTGTTTGCAAAGACCTGAAAGTAATTGTACCTTTACCTGGGCCAGATAATACAGACTAAAGGAAACACGTGTCTGCGTTTTGGGCTGGAATGTTCACTCAGTGCGATTGATATTCCTGGTTATCCTCAGTCTGATCAGAAGCTTGGGTGGGCAGTGTTATACCTTTGCTGAGCAAAATCTGGCAAACAACTTATTGCTTGATATGGTTCAGTAGATAAAATATTTAAGCCTGGGGTTTAACCAAAGAGGTCCTCGATGATGAAAAAATTGGGAGCCACTGAGCCATACGAACTATTTCCAATTTTCAGTGAAGTTTCTATTCCCAATCTTGTGTCTCTGCTGATGTGACCAGGGTGGTAGGTGACTAAGTAGGGAACAAGGGCTCCTTCCTGCCCTCTGCCTCTGCTTAAGTTTGTCTCAGCCAACAGTCCTGGGAACCTGTCTTGTGGGAGGTAGGGCATAGTCTAGACTGGCTGGCCAAGAGGTATTCACCTTTTGAGAAGGAATTTCGGCACTGTTTGTGATTGAAAACACAGTTCCTGGCTACGATTAGCAGTGCAAGGCCTTGGGTGAGTCTTCAAAAAGATCCCTGAGGGAGAAGACAGTTGAAGAGAAGTTAACTTCACGGGAGAGCAGAAAGTTTCAAAGAGCCAGTGGACATAGTTGGTTGGAGCTCAGCTGGGGACCTAGGCTGCCTGGAATGGCAGACCTGAGGGCCAAGAGGGCACTGGACATCCTCCTCTGTGTCAGCTACATCCCCGCTGGGGCACAAGAAGTAGCTGGTGAAATCACCTCCGTGCTGGAGGGTGTTTAGTTCTGCAGAGCTAAGCGAGCAGAGTGCATATAGGGGAAGCCGTGAGCCAGGTTGGGCTGTGTCTCCAGCCTCACCGCTCTGGGTTCTGATTCTCTCAGGCAGTCCCTGAAAGGAAGCTCCCGGCTCTTTAATAACAAGAGAGCTTCCTGCCAGGCTGGGTTTGTTTCTCCCAGAGAAAAGCACTTCTGCTCCATTGGTTTCCAGGGATCTATCTCCTAGCCTTTCAAAGATTGATGAAGGGATATTGATTTGGGGCTTTTTATTTCAGTAAAGTGCCAGGTGATCTGACCCCAAGGGCCTGGGGAGTTGAGCTCACAGGCAGCTAGAAGCCTTTCTCTTCTCTTAATGGGTTGCTGTTTATTAGAGGCACGTCTGCAATGCAGGGAAGACAGGATGTCTGCTTGCTCTGTAGTCTGGGCCATTCTTGACATGGGTAGTTTGGGATCCCATGGAGAGAGCCTCAACTCACACTTTAGTTGGAACTTGTGATAAGTGGTTTCTCTTCGTTGCCTGACACGTAAGCATCACTCAAAGAAGAATCAAGGGGGAAGAGAGTCAGAGCTTAGAGAGGTCTTTCCACTCCGCATTAAGAAAGCCCCAATCACCTGGGTGGTAGCAGCTCTGGCTGTTCCCAGCTGCAAGGTCCTGGGTGGAATTGTCCTGGGTGGGGGTGGGGTGGCTCTGTGTCTTTATTCCTCTTGACTGGGGTCCCTCAGTCCCTGAAAATCCATAGGACAGATGCAGCTCACAACTTGATACAGAGCACCAGGGGCATTGGACCACATTGGTGACCACGTTGGTGGGCATGTTGATCAGGGACCTTTCTCTAATCTAGATTTGAGGCTGGCCCCACTAATTTCAGAGTCTTGGCCTTGGAGTTAAGAAGACCTAGAGTTGAACCTTGGCTCTGCCACTTCCTGAGTGATCGGGACAAGTTACATACTCATCTCTGAAACAAGGCTGATGAGGCCTACCTTGTAGGGTTGTTGTAATGATTAAATGAGATTCAATAAGATACTGCATCTAAGCACTTAGCGCTAGCCTGGCACACAGTGAGTGCTCAATAAGTGGTAGCTATTATTATTGTCAGCTTCCTAATAAGGGGAAGAGCTTTTTATATTCATTTATTCTCCGTTAGAGATATCACAGATGATTTATTGATCTTTGAAAATGAAAGCTAAAAGGAATATCTCACATTCTTTGTAATGTGCATATACAGTTATACAAATAGGCAAGATCATGGGCTCTGGAGGAGGCAGAAGACAAACTTTGAATCTTTCTCTTTGGAAACCTCCTGGGGCTGATGATGTAACCTCTCTGAGCCTTAGTTTTCTCATCTAAAAAATGGTAACAGCTATGCCTTTCCTTCCTACCTCTGTCACAGAATCATTAGGAGAATTGAATTAAGTGAGAAAATGTTTTCTACAGCAAATGAACCAACTTAAACTATAGCTGAAGAGGTGTTAGCTTTTACAAAGATAAAGTTAATTCAGGAGCAAGGAGGGTGAGGCAAGACGGGGATTTTTAAAGAGGCCAAGAGAATGGGAGGTGTCTGGTTGGATTTGAGGATGCCCATATTTAAGTGAAAAGAAGTCTGGGCCCAGTGTTTCTGGGTCCAAACTGTGCATCTGAAAGCTCCGCGTTTGGCTGACCACCCTGCAGTCCGGAGGCAGTGCCTGAGTGAGTTCCACAGGGATGCCTTCAGGGCAGCGACTCTCTTGACCCATAGCCTGGTGTTGAGGACACAGTGCGTATCAGTGTTGAACCTGATGAGTTGGGTCGCACGCTGGATTAAGAGAGACGGTTCACATATGGGAGCAGCCAGACAAGCAATGAGGGCTCCCAATTTAGATAGATTTAGCCAGAGGAGAGAATTCAGCCTCCCTGGAGGGAGCAGGCTTAGTGTTCTCGCTCTTTTGGCCAGGCCAATTTCCAAAGCTTAGGCCTCCCAAAAATGTTTGCCCATCTAAGCCAGCCAGATTCTGCTCCAGGGCCAGGCCTGAAGTTAGGTCCTTGGAGCCTTGTGAGCCTTATGGTTCTTACTAGGTTCTCCAGCATTATAGAGGTTTTCAGCTTCAAGTTCTCAGAGCCGAAGGCAACCCTACACTCTGCAGTTGTGACAGACAATATATATAGTTGCCATCCCAAGTAGAGAAACATGGCTTTCCAAAGGGGCAGGGGAGGGCAGGGTGGTTCTTGTGATATTAGTAAAATGAGGATAATCCCAGCTGCTACCTTGCAAGGTTGTTGGAAGAAATATCTAGGCATTGCTGCTAAAGTGCTTAGTACTGGGAATGGGGTTTGAGGGGTCTGTCTCAGGATTAGGGGTAGGCAGCTCATTTGCTGTGAGAGGCCCTCCCAGGTTGGGGAGCTTTCTTGTACTTTTGTAGGGAGGGGACCACCTCCTAGAGCTGAGAGCAGTGCACCAGAATGCAGTGTACCTCCTAGAGCTGAGAGCAGTGCACAGTTGTACATAAAGCTGCCAGTAAATTCTGCAGCTGCTCTGAGACCCACTGGCCTATAGAGTTTCATTTGAAGGCTTTGCACTCTGGTTGCCTCCTGGGCCAGTCTGCAAGGGACAGCATTCTTGCCAGCTAGGTGTGGCAGCCTCACCAGGAGGTGAGGAGGCCTCCCCAGGTTTTGGAGACGAAAGTTCTTCAAGGCTTTGAGTTTTCCTTCTGGCGCTCATTGGCGATAAGACTCAGGGAGGTCTTCAGTCACACTCAGCCTTGGCTGTTTCCTTCCATAAAATGGGAATAACTCTCCATGCCCTCCCTCTCTCCTCTTTGAATTGCCCAGATCAAAATGAGATAATTGATGGGAAAGTTCTTTTTAATTTATTAGACCAGAGAAATTACTAGTAAGGCAGAATTCCTCCTTCAGAACAGAAAAAGAAGAGGCCTTCAGTATATTCACAGTAAAAACAGGGCTAGGAGGCTCAGGCCAGCACCAGGTTTTTGGAGTAGTGGCCTTCCAAGCTGGAAGGGACCACAGTTCCTGCCTCACCCCTCCCTTTGCAGGGGACCACAATGAGAAAGGGAGCAGAGGGCCCTCTGGTCAGTGTCTGTCCCACTCAGCTTCTCCTTGGGGAATCTTGGGGTCTTTTGCTGGATGTATCCTTCCCCTACTGTAGGCTAGAAGGTTCTGGGAAGCAGAGGGGACCTGTTGTTAATTGGAAGCTCCGGGATAGCCTCAGCATACCCACCCAGTTTCCTGAAGCCAGCAGGTGGGGCTTTCTTCCCTTTCTCCTCTGATGCTTTTAGGAAGATCAGCTTCTAAGTACTTTTTGGTAGGAGAGGAATGGCTGGGGACACTCAGCATGGGAGGTGGCCCCCTCTTCATGAAGAGTAGCATTCCTGAGGGTTGGGTAGGACGTCAGGGCAGACAAAGTCCCCAGATGCCATCAGAGGATGTGAATAACCATCTCCGGGCTTTGCATTTACTGTTCCTGGAACAACTTCTCCCAAGCACTTTCCTTGCTGGCTCCTTCTTAAGAGTTCAAGCCTTAGCTCAAGTGTCATCCCTTCAAAGGGGCCTTTTCTCATCACCTAGCTCACCTTTAAAAACTCTCTCTTTATGACTTTTGTGACATTTTCACAATTTGTAATTATAGTCATTCTTTGGTATCCACAGGGGATTGATTCCAGGACCCCCAGGGATTCCCAAATCCACAGATGCTCAAGTCCCTGATATAACCTATGCACCTCCTCCCGTGTACTTTAAATCTTCTCTAGTTTACTTATAATACCTAACACAATATAAATATTTTCAAATATTTTCCATCCACTGTTAGTGGAGTCCATGGATGCAGCACCTATGGATATGAAGGGCTGACTGTATATTGCTTATTTTATTATTTATTGTTTATTATCTCTGCCCTTGAACCTGAGGGCAAGGACTTAGTCTGTCTCATGTACCTCTTTATCTGTGGTACCTAGGACAGTCCCTGACACATAGCAGGTACTCCATAAATATTTATTAAATGAAATGGATTACTGAATAATAACAATAGCTACTGTTTGTTGAGGCCTGAGCTTGCCCTGCCGGTGGCTCTGAGAGCTGGGTGATGCCATTGTCATTCCCATTTTACAGACAGCTTATAACTTTCCTGAGGTTGACAGCTGAGAAGTGGCAAAGCTGGAATTCGCACCAGGCCTGCCCAACTGTAAAACGGGGGGTACTGGATAGAAACACTGTCTTTTTCCCTGTTGCAGGCCATCTAACTCATGCTTCCTGGCAAGTTCATTTAATCTCAGCCCTGTGGGGTTATAATCAAATTCCAGTGGAGTCAGAGAGAGCTTGCAATCCCCTGATCAGAGCTCCTAGTGGTGGGTGGTAACCCTGGGCATATCACACAGTTCCTACCCCACCTCCAGCTGCTTGGGGGGCAACCTCCTGGGTCCCCACAGCTCCCTGGGGCTTGTGCCAAATCTGGCCTGTATTTGACCTCATCCCGGAAGTTCCTCCAGGCAGCCAGAGCTTACCAAGGCTATCTATGACTTGCCGAGCAGTGTGCTAGGCCCAAATACAAAAGGCCTTCCTAGAAGGAGTTTACAGTCTAGTTGGGGACAGGAGACTGTAGCACTTAGCAGGGTTAAATAGCAAAGTGGGATGTACGTGTCAGCACTGCGGGAGATGTCGCTACCCTCATCTGAGCAGTCACGGATCAGATGCAGGTCGCGTGCCAGGCAGTGAGGCTGCAGAGGCCACATGGCTGTGCCTGCGAGAGACGTTCCAAAGGGACCTGAGTTGCTGTCTGGGTCTGTTGGTATGTCCATCCAACCACCTGCCTAAGCTCGGCCTTGTGATCAGCTGAGTGTGCTGTGAGGGAGACAGGTTCTGTGAGCTGGGCGGAGAGTTCCTGGTTCCACAGAGCATCAGCCGGAGGCCTTGGCCCTCTGGGTTCCCCACGAGCTCCCCCAGCTGCTGCCTTGTGCTGCCTGCCCCCGGGGGTGACCTCACCGGCTCTGTCCTGCAGCTCTCCACAGGCCTCCACTGTGCCGAGAGCTACTGCCTCCCTCCCTTCCCCCAACCTGTAGGCCCACAGCTCGCCAGCTGGCCCCTGAACCTGCTTCCCTGCTCCTCCGGCCGCCTTGATGTCACTGGGGATTAATGTGCATTGTGGCTTTTGGCGGACCTTCCCCTCCCTGCTATAGCCTCGCCCTCTGGAGCCCAGGGATGGGCTTAGGCCCCCTGAACCAGGGAGCAGTCTTGACCATCCCTTTCTCTGTTTTCCCTGACGTCAGAAGGCAGAGTGCTTATTCACTTTGGAAGCGCACTCGCAGGAGCAGAAGAAGAGAGTGTGCTGGTGCCTGTCGGAGAACATCGCCAAGCAGCAACAGCTGGCGGCGCCGCCCCCAGAGAGCAAGGTAAGGCCTTGCCAGCGGCCCCGGGCCTGGCTGCCTTGCTTTCCCTCAGCCAGCCTGGACCCTCCAGCCTCCGAACTGGACTTGGGGCCAGCCCAAGCTTGGAACTTGGATCTGGGCAATGAGCTCTTGGCAAGGGGGCCTGTGCTCGAATCTCTCTCCTCCTTGGCATTACGCTGGGGCTGTGAGTGAGTTTGACGTTGCTCGGGTAGAGCGAGAGAGCCAAGTTGAGCATGACCCGTCAGTCCTCCACTCTGTTCTCCAGTTTGCCTATGGCAAGGTTTAATTTGAGCTGGCCTCCCCGCTGCTGCCTGGCACGCATCCCCCTCTGCCACTGGGGAGGCTGTGCCCAGGGGCAGCACACTGGTGTTTAACACTGGCCCGAGGCAGACATAATTGAGGGGATGTTTGCAGCAGGAGCTGTTATAGGTTATAGTTGCATGCAGGCCAGAGCCAAATGGAGCCGAGTTTGGACTGCTGAGGGCTGGGGACTGGCCAGCTGGAGCATCAGGGAAGATTAGAGCATCCCAGTGGAGGCTGATCTGGGCCGGGCACTGCTCAGCTGGTCCAGGGCCTGGGGAAGGGGGATGGATAGGAGCTTGGACCACAGCCTTCTCCTTTGACACCCGGATGCCAGCTACAGGGCACAGTTGTGTTCCATTTGTGAGTCATTCAGATCCCTTCTCTTGCTAAAAGTGCTGGCCATTTTGGGATTTGGTCTGGTTGGCTGCGAAAGTTGCTGAGGTGGTTGCTCTGCTGGCTCTGGGGGAAGAGAATAGATGAAAGTGAGCTGCAGCCTATACACTCATTGGCCTCACTGCTTCTTCCTGGTGTGTCCGGGCACCCTGTGCCATGGGCAGCAGGCCTGTGGGGGGCGGCTGTGGGGCAGGAGGCGGGGAGGAAGTGGCTGGCAGCCTCTCTGGAGGGCCAGTGGCAACAGCCGCTCTCCAGCTGTCCCCAAAGTGAGTGAGGCTCTGAGAATTAACATCATATGAGATATGAAAGTTATCCTGTTTTATACTAGCCAGGGACAAGAATAACTTTGATGAGGGAAGACAGTGGGAGAGTATGGGCTTCCGAATCACACTCTGCCTGCTGACTGGCAGTGTGAACTTGGGCAAGTCACTCTACTGCTCTGTGCTTTGATGTTCCCATCAGTAACCTGGGACAATAGTTCCTCCTCCACAGGGTGGTTGTGAGGATTAAATGAGAGGGTGCATATACAGTTCATAGCACAGTGCCTGGTATGCAGTAGGTGCTTATTCAACCATAGCTGTGGGGAATGCACTGCCCCTGGTGCTGGCCCCAGGTGGCTTATTGAAGAACTGGGTGGTTCTCATTGGCAGGTTCCTCTACTAAGCAGAGACCTGTCGGCTGTCACCGTGCCTATGCAGGCTGCCTTGCCCCATTTACCCTGGATTGGTCACAGTCAGAATCTAGGCCACTTCCTCTTCAGTGGGACAGCCCTGGGATGTCCAGTGGCTCCAAGCTTTCTTTTCTTGGTGCTTAGTTCCTCCTGTTTGAGGGGGAAAGAGATCTTTGTGCCTCAGCATCAGAGTTTGGTGGCTTGGGAGTGTGTTGGCAACAGCCTTCTTAACGCCTGGGAGAATCTCTCCATGCTCAGGTTCGGGAGGACCTGGGCTGTTTCCGAGGCAACCTTTGGTCCCTGCCAGGCTGCAGGCTTGGCTGGCTGACCTTGGAAGGGCTTGAGGGTTGCGGGCCTGGCTTCAGGGCCACGCCAAGATGTTTGGGCGTCCTGGACAGGTAACAGTTTGGACGCCTCTTCACATCAAAACTCTTCAAATGTGTGTTCAGCGGAGAAGCTGTGTGCTGGGCAGGAAAAGGGTGAAGCAGGGGCGTGAGTGCTGGGACAGACTCAGACTTGCTTCCTGGGCCTGCGAACTGGGCCCCATGCCAGGCTTGCACACTCCGCTTGGCCTACCCTCCTGGGAAGGCTGTTATGCAACTGCCTTTTGTTAGGCAGGCCCCCGGGGTCTCGCTGCTCCACCTCCACCATGCACACTTAGCCCTTCTAGTCACTTACAGAGTGCTTCCGGAGAGCAGTCTGTCTGGTCAATACGATTGTCTCCAGCCCTGTATAGTTCCAGGAATGCTTTAGAGACCTTAGTGACCGGGCCCAGGTGGCAGTCCAGCTGGCCTACCCCCTCATCCGCCTGTGCTCAGCTCTGTCTGGCAGCCTCAGGGTGATGTGAGCATCCTTCCCGAGAACTGGGCCACAGCCTTTCTACCAAGGTTGCTGTCCTCCAGGGGAGAAGAGGGATGGTCAAGCAGAGCTCAGAGACTGGCTTCTTGCTTTTCAGGCATGAAAGGTCCTGCTTGACTGATTCGTTCTGAGTCGTGACTCAGTAGCATGCCTTTGTATGCCTTTTCTGTGTTCTTTCTGGGAATGCTCTGCCTTCTGCCGCACAATGGAAAACACTGCCTGACCCCGCCCCCGCTCCACTCCCCACTCAAGTGCCTCTGGGGGAAAGAGGGATTTGTAAGGCAACGTCCCAAACTCCCACACTGCCCCTTCTTAACCCCTGTCCCCTGCCCCTTTCAACAGTGTTTGCTGACACCTCAGGTTGGAGGATTCTTCAAACATCTCATGGAATGTAAAGCTTTTCCCAAATTCACAAAACATAACAAGTGCCCTGAAAATGAAATAGGTGCTTGTTGGAATGAATAGAGGGAATTGGAAGAAGATGGGCAGGTGTGTCACTATCTGACATGTGACCTTTGGCAACCACTTCCTGCTGTGGCCTCAGTGGCCCCATTTGTGTGTGTTGGTCCAGTGGTGCTTTCCTTCTCTTCAAGTTTTGTGATTTTCATGAAGCTGAGGGCCTGGGGCCATCCAGGCTCCTTTGGGGAATTGTACCTTAAAGATTTCTATATAACTTGTCTTCCTGGGAAATCCGATGCTTTTAGGGGCCAGGTCTATTCTCTTTTTGGGGATGGATAGGGACAGGAGTAAGCTTTCTGTGCTCTCTGAGGGGCCTGTGGCCTTGCAGCGTGGGGGTCTCAGCTGGGCAGAGTGATCGCACTGGGGCAGCAGCAGCTATTTGCCCTCCCTTCTCTGTGGCTCTGTTGCCTTTCTCCTGCTCACTCCCAGCTGACTATGGGGGTCAGGGGCTGCTCTGGGCAGGCTTGAAGGTTCTCTCTTCTTCCTGTTGAAATAAATGACCCAATTCCTTTCCTGCCCCAGCTTCCTACTCCTGCTTGTCACCCCCTCCTTCCTCTTCAGAGCTCTGCCCCCTCTCTTACTTCATTGCCTGTCACCGGAGGGCATGTACCTTTCTTCTGTGTGGGAAACCTTGTACTAAACTGCCTGCATGGGGACTGCATGAGGATTCTAATCCAGAGTAGTTTGGCACTGGTCCTACCTGTGGCAATTGAGGTCCTAAGCTAGTAGGGAGAGACAGTTATATATTATTTTGGTTTTCAAGCAAATATACACAATAAATGCCTTCTCTGTAACAGACACTGGTTTGGGTCATTTGGGGTCACAGAGATGAGTAAGACCTAGTTCCCGTCCTTGTGGAATTCTCTTTCTAACAGGAAAGAGGTGACAAGGGCACTGGAGTGGTGATTCAAGCACTAAAGGCCATGCCTGCGAGTCCTAAGTGTAGTCCAGTGGGGTTCTGGCTATCTACTCCTCATCCACACAGCGAGCCTCCCACTGAGCACCCCTCAAAGGCATGGTGCTGGGCTGGGATCGGGGAAGCCTCTGGGAAGAGTAGGCTTTCCCCCGAGCCCTTGGGCTGAGAAGGGGGGCTGAAGTGCAGCATGTCCTGGCCCCATTCTCGGGGCAGGCCCAGGGCTCCGTGGGGGAAATGCACAGAGGAATCCGAAATGCTCTTTCCTCGGTAGGTTACGGTGTACTGGCAGAGACAGACATGGCAACACATAGTTCTAAATAACCTAGTAAGTGACGTGTCCTCAGGGGAGCCACCTAGCCTCTCTGAGACCCAGTGTTTTTATCAATAAAGTGGATGGATTTCCAGGGTTCTTGTGAGGACTAAACTCATGCTGTGCTTGGCAAAGTGGCATACAAGAAGAACTCTGTGAAGTAGCTGCCATTGTTATCATCATCATTATTTCTGAGTGATGTCTGTATAGGAAGATTCATCTGGTGGCCTTGTTTATTGAAGCCGCTGCTGCTGCTCTGAGTGCAAGTGACGACTGCTCCATGTCACTTCCTGGTAGCTACCTGCTGTATTCCAGGGCCCAGGCAGGGAAACTGAGGCCTCCTGGGTCTGCTCTCACTGTAAGACTTCTAGATGTGAAGCCGAGGTGCGTGCCACCTTGTCATCTCCACTGGGGCCGCTAGAGACAGGGCCCCTGAGATACCAAGGTCTGTCTGAATGCCTTAGAAAGGAGCGGAGGCAGGTCCCGGAGTCAGGCAGCCCAGGCCTGAGTAGACAGTGAGCTAATTCCAGTTCTGTCTGGTTCCACAGAAACTCCACCCTTACGGCTCTCTCCAGCAGGAGATGGGGCCTGTCAACTCAACCAGTGCTATCCAGGATAGAAGCTTTACCTCATCAGGACAGACTCTGATTGGCTGAGCAAACCCAAGGGCGGGACTCTGCTTCTGACAACTTAACCCTTTCTTGGGCATCCCCCACCACACAGTAATCTCACCTCACCTGGACCCAAAACGGAGGACCAAGATGGTGGACCTAGGGTCATCCGAGGGGAGTGGTCCCGAGGTCGTGTGTGGACTGGCAACAGCAGGACCACAGTGGTGTGAGAGGCCTTGTGGGCATGTGCAGACTCGGCAGCAGAAATCCCAAGTGGACAAGACTCAGAGCTTATTTCCTTCTGAGGAGAAGGAGGCTAAATGGCATCTGGGCTTCCAGTGGTGGTTCCAGCAGGAGAGGTTTGAGAGGTCACCCCTGATGGAGAACAACGCCACAATCCACTGCTGCCAGAAGACATCTCCACCCATTCACTCACTTTTGATCTGCATACATTCGCGTAGTCATTAAATGGATGTTTTGGGG